ATCTAATTTTTTTTCTAGTTCTTAATTTCCCAACATTTTATTTAAATTTATAGAATTATTTTGAATGGGTTGTTCGATCTAATAGGTAATGACAAACGGAAGATTTATAAGCGTGAGACATAGAGCGTTGACATTTGGAAAAGAAAACCGGCTCTCGACGGCGTACTTTGCCGGACCACCACTTCAAGCGAAGATTGGACCCCTACCGGCGATGGTTAAAGCAGTGAACAAGCCACGGCTATACCAAACGTTTACTTGGAGCGAATACAAGAAGCTCGCATACTCGTTACGACTTGAAGATAGTCGTTTAGACATGTTCCGTACATGTAAAAATGAAGATCATGAGTAGTTTTTTAAGGTAGCAATGTTTGAGTTGAGGATATTTTCGTCTAACTATGATGCTTCTTGAAAATTTAAGGTAAGATTAGGCACAATAGAATTGTGTAACTAGAACTAGGAATTGAAAATGTCTGATATCGTTTGTAATCTATGTGTTATATTAATTTTATGGAAGTACTGAAACATGTATTTTTCCATTATATTAAGTGATTTCATTATGAAGTAAGTTTACAAGAGATTCCTATACTACTTCTTCAATGATTAAATTAGAAGTGATGATAAGTAAACATTACTTCTATATGCTTTACGTACAAAACATTGAACCATTAACATGAACTCATCTCAAATTATAAGTTAAAAAAAAAAAAAAAAGTGAAGACTTTCAAAACACATTTTGTTTTGGGTGTGTTATAGAAAATTAAGTTATCGGTCTAAAATTTAATATTTTGTTCCCATACGTAAATCAATTCTCAAAATATTATTCAATTCCAAAGTATGTAGTTAGGAAATAAATGGGTGTGTTTTTGGGTCATCGATCGATCGAAAAACATTTTGTTTTGGGCTGGTATTGGGTATCTCATAAAACTTTCTTTTATATTCTTCACGTGAACCATTTTGCGGGTTATAGGCTGAAATCATACATCAAAAATGTTGTGACCCATATTCTTCACGGTGAACTATTTTGCGGGTCATATCATAGGCTCATAGGCATAGCATACAAAAGATAATTTAAAAATCCACTGATCTACATTTTCAAGCAAGCCATAGTAAAATAAGTAGGGAACCCAAATAAGTAAATAACCATTGCTGCTTGTCTTGAAAAGATTAGAGGTGAAGACAATTTTAAAAGGTTTTTCACCGTCTAAAATTTGCCTATAAGAGAGCATAAATCCTTCTTCTTTTTTAACGCGTATGCGAAGGTTTGTTTACACTACAGTATATAATTAACTTTTGTAGCTCTAAGAGAAAGGAGAGAAAAGTTATCTGTAAAGTCAGTCTTAGCTGCATATAATTAACTTTTGTAGCTCTTTTAGAGAACAAAATAATCTGATTAATTTATTTTCACCTTATTTAATTTAAATAAATCCCATTAACTCGTGCATGAAGGATTCCCTTTTGTGACATGTTCCACTTTATATTAAAACAAATCCCTAAGCAAAGAAAAGTTTGGAACTAGGCAACTAGCTCATGCAATCATATCGTACATTCTTTTGGATGTAAGATGTCTTTAATTATCCTTTTGTGAATCTGCATCTAGTTACCATTTGTCAATGAAAAGAAAAATAAACATTCGTAGTTCAAAAACATCGGAGAGACGTTCAGTACGTAATCAGTGAATATATCGAAATTGATGTATGATGTGTATGTTAAGTGAACATCCAATAAGTTGTACCCCCAAATCATACTATATTGATTAAGTTAATAAGTATAATCATTATGGGAATCTCTATTAATCTAACTACAAGAAAGGGACGTACGTGAATGATGAGATGTCTCTATTTGCTAAAAAAAAAAAAATATTACTATATATAAAACCCACTCATGTAACACTTTTTCAAGACTATATACGTCCAGATGGGATGAACCCAAATAAAATTCGTCAGGTTAATTATAAAAAATAAAGGACTTTGATCAAATTATTTCTCAGTACTTTACCGGAAATTATTGTTTAACTTCTCACTATTTTTTTTTAATCCACTACGTCGGCTTAGGATCACAGATCCTCAAGAACCCTAGTTTCAGAATTAAATATCAATTATATACTTGTAAAAGAAAAATCAATTATTTTGATTGTTAGAATATATTCATACGGACAAGAAACTTGGAACTATGGGCCTTTCACAAGAGGAAACTTGGAAGCAAAATAGGTTTTCATTATGAAGTTTCACGTTACTTTTTCGATATCGTTTCTCGATTGAAATAGAAGGACGATATACTAAGTTCTTTGGAATATTGCCTTCTTGGGTTATAGGATCATTGGTTTTGCTTTTGATAATTCTCTTGTAATATTATAGGGATGTTTATGAATAATTATGTGGATCAAGACAATACGTGTGAACGTATAACACGTACGAGCTGTTCCTTTTAATGGAAAAATAAAGAAGTGGTAATGGCGGCTGTGGGTGGGAATCTAAAAGAAGGACGTGCGGACATGACAAGCAACACAAACTGGTCCCAACTCGACACATGTGTTCTTCATCGGTCACGTGTCTTTTTTCTTTGATTAGAATCCAAATGGATGATATCTTCTTAGTTTGAAATGAGTTCGAGTGGCTATTGTTTCTTCGATTATTGGTTCCTAAGTTATACTCGATTAATATCCTACATATAGTTTTTTTTTACCAAAACAGGGATTACAAATAATTAAAGAGATCTTACATCTAAACAGATGAGGCTCAGCTCCAGTTCTTAGAAAAAAGTTACAAAATAGTACAGTAGTACTAATGTTTGGAAAGTATTCTTAGGAACTTAATAGAACCAATTCGGTAAATGGCAAAATTAGAAGACAAGTTAAGTATTATCAACTGATAGACGTTTAATTAGGTTAATATTTCCAGGAAAGTAAATGTTTTGTGATTCATATAAATTAGTTGGTGTGCAGATAATAGTGTACTAGTCGTGCGCAAGGCTATAAGTTTATCTTAATGCGGTTATTAAATTAAATCATTTGATAAGAAGAATACTGATCAGTGATCATCCAAGTTCTATACACAAATGACGCATTATATCAACGGTAAATTTTTATATGTTTTTATGAAACAAATTACCAGAATTTCGAGAAAATTATCACACTCCATTAGAAAACCAATATTTTTTTTGAAAATTAAAGAAAAAAAAAACGAAACAAAATTTCACCTCTTCTTTGCTCCGGACAATACTTTTTCTAGTCATATAAGTTCCGAAGTGTACTACACATATATTTGTTTTTCTTTTATTAGTTTACTAGTATTGTGCCCCGTGCAATGCACGGACTTAAACTTTTATAGTAATGAAATTATCTATAAAATTGTTTTTTTTAGTGTAAGTTTTTTTTTTAGTTACACATCAATATTGGAATTATAAACTGAACTCACAAACAGAATCCAAGATAGACTGAAATAAATGATTACACAAAACATGGATAACCTAATTACTCCAGACAAAGCAAATTCATAATTAAAAGCAGTTATACAAAGTTATAGATAGAAATATATACAAATGGTTAAGACAAACTTGCTGCTACTGATAAACAAACATCTGCTACTGAGTGAGTTATGTGGAATCACGTGTCGAAATTTATGTATGTCAATGAGTAAGATTTACAAATGGTTAAACACAAATATAACCTTCGAAATACTAAATAAATTTAGCGACAAAGTCTTTGGATAAAATAATCCAATATGAATCTTCTAGACTATTCATTCTAATAACATGAATGTATGGACAAAGTGTTATCCCAAAATCGCCGAGTAGCTTTGGGATGTCTTCTCACAATGTTGCTTCTAAGTTTTGTCCCGTTACTGTCTTTATGCCAACTACAGGTCATTAAAAATATCATAAACACAGGAAAGTAGTTATAGAAGAAACAAAATAAGAAAAGGAAGAGAAAGACCTTGTCGAGAAGAAAATCGATAGAACCATATCGTTGAAAGCTGAAACGATAGAGGTGTGATAGAGCGTCTTTGAACCTGCCATTTTAACCGTAAGAAAAATGCTGTTGTGGAAAATAATTCAGTCACATTCAGAAGAGTAATCCCAAAAACAATCTCAAAACATCAAAATAATTTAGTTATGATTTGGTGAAAGAAGTAGGTGGCTTCTGAGATTATTTCTGGTTGATTTCAGAAAAAGAAAAGCTAAAGCAGACCAACAAACAGATAAAAATCAAAATAACCCAGAATAAAAAAACTTAACTAATTATTCTCACATCTAATCCTTAGTATCTAGAATCACAAAACTCATGATTGATGTTTTCGATAAAATCGTATACATGACTAAAACATGATTTGAAGGTTAGAATTAGAAGCAAATTCGAAATTTCCATTAGAGAACTGAAGAGGAAATATACCAGAAAAAAAAATCCATGGATCGAAATTGGTTACCTGTTTTCCTTAAAAGTGAAAAGCCCAAGCTACTGTCACAACTTGAGTCTCCATCGGTGCATTTGAGATTGGATCTACACAAAGAAATTCCAGATTCAGAACATGAAACTATTCTATCAATCAACATATGGAAGAAGAAGGAAATCTGTAAAGTAATCTGATTTTAATCATTCAGATCTACAAATCAATATGAGAAATCGTGATGAATAAAACCAAAAACAATTATGCAAGTGAAAATTTGATTAGTATAGAGATACCTTGATTTTAGAAGAAGAAGAAATTTAGTCAGTTCCCTGTTTGAGAATTGAGATCGAACTATATATGTGATGAAAGTGAAATTCGAATTATGAGATCGTGGAAGTTTGAAAAGAGATTCAGAGATCGTGGGTTTTGCCGTTTTGGGGAAGAAGAAGAGATCGTGGTTTTGGGGATAAAGAAAAAGGTTTTTCAATTAAAAAAACGAAAATAAAGAATAAAAATAATAATTATATTTGAAATAAATGAAAAATAAATTATTTGGAATTACTGAGGACACGTGTCGTTCATACAGGCCATGAGGTGACTGCTGATTTATTAGTATTAGATTAGATCACATAAATTGCTGTGCAAAAGCCAAATATTGAGCTCATCAACACTCCACATGTTATCGAAAGCATCTCCATTGTTGAATAAAGTACTATCATTATTTGTCATCTGATCCAACGTTCCATATTCCACCTGATCACCACCGTAGAAACTCGATCCTATGGACTCCGACGACGTCGATGATGACGTGGCAGTGGCCACGCTCGAGTTCTCAGGCGAGTAGTCGTAAGGTGTAAATTCAACATTTTGAGTGGAAGCTGCGATTCTCTCGACGAGACGAGGCATCCAAAGATGTTTCAAAGTGTCTTTGAATTGCTTGCTGTTCACGTCACATTTCAGAAGCTTGGCATGTTTTTGAACACGTGTTCTCCAATAATTCTTTATCTCGTTATCTGTTCTTCCAGGTAAATGTTGAGCAATCTTTGACCACCTTAAAAACAAACCCTTAAAATTGTTAAATCCACAATAATTTACCTATCATTTTAATTTTATAATTTAATGAAAAACTTGGACTAAATGGTTCTACTACCATTTCTCTACTTTTTAACAGTAACTAAAAGACTTGATTTTCGAATTTCAAATATGATACAAATGAATGTCATACTATATAATATCACAATTCAACAAAGAATTTTCAAATACGCGTTGTCAATTCTCTAATACATTGATTGAACATTGAGTTATTTATTTCAAAGAGACGTTCGAAAATTGCTCTCTTCGTAATATCTAGCTATTTCCATTTTTTCAAATAATTAATGTGTTTAACAAGAACATATAATTAAATAACGGTTCATACCGATTTCCCCAACGAGAATGGAGTTCGAGGATGACGAATTGCTCTTGGAGGGATATGTCTCCACGGCGAATGTCCGGCCGGAGATAATTTAGCCACCGCAATCTACAACTTTTCCCCGTTCTATTTAGTCCTGTCTCCATAATAAATTACTTCAATATAAAATACAATTCAAAGAGTACGTGGACACTATGATTTCCATGTCAAAATAAATTAAATTTGGCTTTATCGTATTGGATGGTTGTGAAAGCCTGAAAGGTGTTTGAGTTCCACACTCAAAAGGCAAATTATGAAAAGAACACCATAGATCAAAATAAAAAACTTTAGACCGACCAATCTTTTTTTGTAAGAAAGTACACTTTGAATGATAGTAGCGAACTATGAAGATGTCAACTTGTTCTTTGTTACTTTGCCAACTCTAAAGAGGAATATAAATTTTGCCGACATGGAGAAGTCACAGCCATAGGAAACACATGCAAACAGTTTTAATTAAGCTAGATGTGATGAGAATCAAGAATAACATATTGAGACGTTGAGACGAATAAGAAGTTTCTTATAAAGTTTATAAGGCCACAGTCTATTTCTTTTGATCTCAATTAGTTATAAGATAAATTTCTAAAACTTTCACATGAGATCGAAATCACAAAAGCATCATAAACGAAATTCCGACTAAAAAAAGATTCGGTATAAAAAAGAAAAACATACTTGTTTGAAGAGCATATTAAGAGTTCTTTCAATAGCAAGGTTTTTAACCATTCGAATCAATGAAAAACAATTACTTAATTAGCTCTCGGGGTATGATAAGGTGGTCATATAACGGTTTGCTATGATAATTTCAATTGTTCTAGATCAATTTACGCAATATATCGCATATCACAATTGATTGTATTCTAATATTCTATTTACATGTATGTAAAAAGCAGATGTTACCAGCAGAACGAGAGAGAGAGTTCCATCTTCCTTCACCGTGAAGAGCAATGTAATTGATGAGCTTCATGTCTTCCTCTGCAGTCCATGGACCTCTCCTTATTTCCATTTCCATCTTCTTCTCATTCCCTACTTCTTCCATTTCTTCTTTCCGCTTAAGGGTTTTACAGCTTGCAAATTCTGTAATGTTTATGTTCATGCTTTTGATATATTCAGAAAGTAGAGATAAGATAGACTGTTTTAATAAGGAGTCTGATGAATGTTATGGGAGAGAGCTCTCCTCCAATAGGGGATAAAGTGATCGAGTTTTCAGGGTGGGTTTTATAGATATATTGTTTTAGCATATTTTATAAAATAAAATACTAGAGATATGCTTGGTATTATGATAAAGCATTTGGGGGGGTGTATTGAAAAAGGGATTTTAAAGAATTTAGGTGATTTTGAGTGATTTTGTATATTAGGTAGTTTTAAGAGATTTTAGAAGGATTTACAATTATTTGGAGTGATTTAAAGAGATTTAAGAAAATATCTTATGAGATTTTGGGAGGATTCTTATGGGATTAGGTGGGTTTTAAGTGATTTGTCATTAAAATAAAAAAGCCACAAACACCTTCCATAAATTATAAACAGAACCCAACACTAGAGAGATAATGAATAAAAGTTCTTCGAGAAATAAAGGACGAATTGTCTTCACTTCAACCACTGACCATACCTATAACCATCACCTCTCACGTCCACTGATACTGCAGTAAACTCAGTAAATATTACGAAATTGCAGCAAAAAAGGATCTTCGATGATATTTATTGGTGGGGGTGTATTGGCAGTTTCGTTAACATCCTTTAGAACTGAGTGTCTCTTTTTTCGAACCCAAAAAAGTCCAATTTTAGTTCCAATACTTTGTCACAAACTACACGAATAGGTGAGATCAGTGAAAGCTCACAAAACAGGCTTTGCAAATGGATTTCTTGTTGTGCAAGAAACCTCATGAGGAACAAAATATTACTTTTACAACGCTGAATAATGAGTTCATGACTGTGGGAACAGCTCTGTTGTGATTGAGGTAATTAAGCAGCGCCAGATTTTTCTGTATCTCTTCCATGTAAAGAAACTAACCTCTTTTGTTCAAGAACATAAATCTTATCCCTTTTTCACATCTTCTTGTTCAACCACATGCTCCTCTGAAATCCCCCGTTTCTGCAAATTGTTTTGGCAGTCTTAAAACAAGCACACAAATCAAGAGAAACCAAAAACCTGAGTGAAACTCGTATAACCAATTCAGTTGGTCTCATTTCAGTTTCTTGCTTTACGTCACACAAGTGATATAGACTTATGCCTCAAGGTTCAAAAGATTCAAACTTTGATAGTAACGCACTGATTTTTTTCAATGTACAAGACCACAAACCAATTCTGCTAAGTCACAAATTTATCCATTACTCAAGAATCCAAACAGCAATCAAAGTGTATCAATCATAAAAGCACATTTTTACGCATTACAGAGTTTTAGTTTCTTGAAATTTTGTTACACACAACTGATAATGGAATTAAAGACCCAAACTTTGAAGTTAAAGCACTGATTTTTACGAACTCTGCTTAAAAATTCACCAACTTATCAATCACTCAAGATCCAAAAACGGCACAAATTCGTTTCACAATTGGCAACAAATCGAGAGAGAAAGAGAGATTAATGCTGCCTGCAATATATTTATATTCTCCTTCAGTAAATTAATGTCAAAGCAAATGCTAACAAGAGCTAGCAGAAGAAATCAAGAGCAGACATAGAACGAATGAAACATCCATTACAGTACGGACCTCTCTTTGACGCAATGCTTGGTGAGAAACAAAACTTTGTGACTAAAAGCTATAATAAAAACAAGAAAATCCATCGATTGAGCCTCCAATTGTTTAATTGAGCCTCTAATTGTTCTGGGCACAACGGCTGCAAGCCTGCAATTGCGTCACAGTCGAGTTCACGACGTCGAGTTCACGGTCTAAGAATTTTTTTTATTTAAATAAAAATTCTCCAAATCACACCTCAAGTGGTGTTATTTTTGTTACCCAAGAATTTGACCCAAATAGGGTATCAAATCTCCTAAAAAGCTTTTGACAAGTTTTTCTCCAAATAATTATCTAGTTTTGAATAACAGTGGATTTGATGTGAGATTTACAAATGACTAATTGAATAACAGGGCTTTATAAGTGATTTTGAATCACTTTAGAGAAACTCCATATTCAATAACACTGATTTTGAAAAGATATTTAGAAATCCCTAATTGAATAACACAGAATTTGAAAATTACCTCAAAATCACCTAAAATCTTTAAAATGCCTTTTTCAATACACCCTCCTTGGAGTCGGCATGTTAGTATTCAAATTATAAACATAAGGTATGCTTGGTATTATGAAATTTGGACTATTGAAGATTTTCCTTATTATTATTTGATTAGCGGTATGTCAGTTATTTTATTAGCTTTTATATTTCCAATCTTACTTTTTAAGAATTTTTTTTTTGTTAAAATATGTGTCTAAACTTACATTTTAATTATGTGATTTCTTATTGATATAGAAAAGTATTCATACTTTTTTTTGTTATCTAATTGTAATTGGCAAATTTGAAAATAAAACTATTGGAAAATTGGACTACAGGAAATTAGAAAATTTCCTTCATAGTTAATCATACTTTTTCTATAATAAGATATATATATGTAAAAATTAATACGAAATATGGAGCAACAAGATCCAACAACAACATATGCATCATACTACCTTTTATACTTACGGGCGATGCATTAAGGGGGTTATATATTATGTAGCCTATACGTATCATGCTTGTGTTATAATGGGTTTTGATGTCAGGTCTGAAAATTTCGATATGATACAATTACCATTGGATATCTGTAGGGATACGATGATAAATTATAAGGGGAGGTTAGCTTTTGCTGATAAGATTTCTACCAAAAATAATGGTATGAGATTGTGGATTTTGGAGGATGCAGAGAAACACAAGTGGTCGACTCAAGACTTTCGTTTACCTTTGCGTCACTGGGATGAGAGTTTGAGTAATGGCGGCAGTTTCTCAGTAAAGGCCTTCACTCATGCTGGTGAGTTGATTTATGTACCGTACGCGTATTCTAAACCACATTATATTTTATTTTGTGATCCGGTGAGAAACAGTTGTAGAAGATTCGAGTTTGAGGGAATCACAGACGAGGAAACTGGCTTCGACATGTATTTGCTTCATGCTTTCCCGAATCACATTGAGTCATTGACTGTCTAATGTCTTTGTAACAATTTGTTGTTTTTTTCCTTTTTTTGAGAAGGACACTTATGCAACTTTACAAGTAAACTAAGAAACAGTTGGTTTCTTAGAGCTCAAGTAAACTCGTTAACATTAAATATACCAAGGCCTCTTAATTATGTTTCTAAGGTAGCGTAATGATACTTCGAACTGTTGGGAAATCACTTTAGCATATTGACTTCGTTAAATTTCATCACACAAATGTTCAAGCAAAGTTTTATCATTAAAACTAAAATACACAAACAAACATTAGCATGACAAAGCCACATAAAGTCTTCTTTTTTAGAAACTAAGAAAAATATTGATCAAAGCTGAAGAACTCTCAGGTGTATGGTATAACTAGAGCAGGAGAGCACGTTCATGTTGGGACTCTGGTTTTTCATGTTGAATCGTTGGTCATACTGAGAATTTCATCCATAATTCGCCACTTTAGTGATTGAGGTAAATAGAAAAGGGACTTGAATGGAAAGCACTTGTGTTATACAGTATTGAAATGAATGAAATAAATGAATGGAAAGCACATATTGCTCTGATTGGTTGAAGTTGATGCTGCCAATGGAGGATGCATCTGAGGAATGAATGAAATGCTTATGAAGGAATCACCAATCTCTGAGTTCCATAGGGACACAAATGCATCATAGGATCCAGCTCACAAGAAGAAGAAGTATCGTTTTGCAGGCTATTAATTAAAAAAAAAAACAAAACTTAAGATTGACGTTTCGTGTATCTTTTTCCTCTGTATTTTTTTTTCTATTTATTGTTCAAATTGATAAGAAAAATAATAAGAATAATACAAATTCGCAAAATAAGCATTTGATAAGAAAAATGTAAGAAAAAATAACGAAAAATGATTACAAATTATAAATTTGAGAAAAAATATATATATTTTTTGGTTTTAAGAAAAATAAATATTTAGTAATTACCAACTACACCAAGAAATATAACAAATAGAAATTCTCAAAAATATATAATATTGAGGTCAGCTGCATGACCCTCTTTTAATTAACCAAAATGTCTCTGCCCCTGACCCAACTGATAAAAACGTCTTTAGAAAAAGCAGTCGTAGCTAAATTATAGAAAGGTTTGGTAATTTCCCGAATGATGCTGCTTCGGGAAGTGGTAGATTCCTTATCTATGTGAAGGAAGGCATCTACAATGAAGATCTGGAGATTCGGAAGGAGAACATTATGCTGAGAGGTGATGGTAAAGGGAAGACGATAATCACCAGTAGCAGAAGTCATATAGGAGGATCGAGCACGTTTCATTTAGCTACTGTTGGTATGGTACGTACAGTTTTTTTGTGTGTCTTTTGATGAAGATATAGTACGTTTTGTTACAAAACAAAACCAAAAAGTTGATTACTTTATTTTAATCTTAGAGATATACAGCATATGGTTTAGTCTACGAATGTTACATGCATGAAAACCCCAAATTAGAGAGCGTAACTGAAAGTGATATGTAAAAACCACGCAGCGTGTGTTAACATAGGTTTTTATGTATAGATACAAGATTTTCGATTTTGTCTTGCATTTTTGTTTTTAATAAAGATTTTGTCTTGCATTTTCTACAATCATACTTTAAGATATTTACTTTTACAAATTAGAAAATCCCGTACAATTATATGAAGGATATAAATTATTCATTTTAAACTTTAATCATTTTAGACATAATAATTTAACAAAAATGGTTAATTGATTATGTCACCCGTTTTTTTCTGATATATATGCAGTGGCGATGGAAAAAGGGATTATAGCACGTGGGATAACTTTCCGAAACACTGTGGGTGCAAACAAAGGCAAGCTGTACCTCAAAGATCCGACTATGAACAATTCATGCAATTTTCTCTTTTGATATGAACACACAGAAAACAGAGCTTATTTCAGAGCAGTACATTGTTTTTGTCAGACAGCTACATCAGGACAAACTTTGATCAAAAATTTAAAGTCTACGGAACATTTTAATCATTTTCTACCGATGATACGTTTTAATTGAAAGAATAATATAATTACAAGTAAAAAACATCGACCTAAGTTTCCCTTTTCAAAATTATTATTATAAAATTACAAAAAGCAAAATAAGTGAGAAATCAGAGCAAAAAACAAGGTAAATATATGGAAAATGAAAAATGTAAAATACTGTACTGAATGAGAATTGTTCTTGAATAATTTTCAATGTTGGTCGAGATACCTTTTTACCGTATTATCGCTAATAAGGAAATCATTTTTCGGTTTTAATTATCGTACAATCAAAATTTCCAAGTTGAGTCCTCTTGTCTTTTAGATTTAAAAGGATTTATTGAATGTGAATAATAGTTCCTCTATGCACCAATATTTTTCTTTGTCTTGTTGGAATGCTCGGATGGCATACAATGTTGTCTCTGCGGTATTTACGCAAAAACAGGAGACTGTATGTTCCTATGTCCTTATACTCAAGAACAAATCAGCTTAGAGTTAATCACAATCGCGGCCAAACTCGAGATTATTAGAAGATAAATCCTTTTTATTGCCAATTTAATTGGTTATCGAATACGTTAAGATATAGCAAATTCCAATAAATACCAAATAATTATAAGATCATGTAATAGAAAAAACCAAACATTCCTTATAGTCGAGTGATAACATTTTATTATTTCTTAGGCAGTATGTTAGAAATCACCAATACAATGCCTGACAGATTGTCGATATCATAAATCTTTTTTAAGAGTTGTGGACTAGTTTTAACTCTTGGTAACTCCGAGTTGCACGAATCTCCTTCTGTCATCGCAGCTGAGACTTTAATGTTTAAACTGCCACCATCCATGTCTGCTAAAGCTTGGAGAGCGGCATTAAACTCATTAAGTGCATTTTTATAATTCTCTGAGCATTGAGTATAAATATCCTTGGAACGAGGATCAGCCGCGCCTTTTACCAGTGATTCGAATTGCTTTTGTGTATCTAAAGCTTCTCGTGATGCATCATTGATCAAAAACTTTGCGACACCAGGCAGATTCAATGTTTTGGTTTGAGGAGTTGATTTAAAGAAGTTGGAGCAAAAAGAAGGATTCTTCGCTTTTGAGCAGATGGTGGTGACCTCACCTTCTGAAATTTTTACATTGAATCTTCCATGTGATGAGGAAACAAGAAGAAAAACCACTGCTAAAGGAACCAGTAAAAAGTTGTTTTTGAAATACACAGCCATGTTTATTCGAATGTTTTTGATATGAGGAATTTGTTTTCTTATTCTAAATATTTTGGCAATTGTTGTGAGGTTTATATATAGTAGTACCGAACATGTTAAACGTACAATGTATTGGTTAATGTGTTTGATTTTTTACCCTAATAAGGTTATTGTGTCAATAGCATTATATCAAAGCATTCAATATTTTCCCTTTTTTCTTAAGTAGAGCAGATACGCTAACTTTAGAAATTTGTCGTAAAAATCCATCTTTTTAATTTATCGACAAATCTACATAACTAATAAGTCTTGGGACACTCTCCAGCTGGGGACACGTAGCACTTTTTTTTTCTTCCTCCCAACGCCAAAACGACGTCGTTTAAATTCTATGAAACTTAAAGGCTACAAAAGAGGGGAAATGAGCATGGGTGGTGGAAAAAAATTTCAAGAAACTAAACGAAATGCTATATCCGAGAGACTAGGCCTGGGACTTCGCCCTTTCAGGTCGTCTTCAGACCGGGTGTTTCAGGTTTTCAGGTTTAGAGATATAGAACCCGTTTGAATTTTTTTTTTTAAGTTTGGTTTCTGTTCAAGTTTTTTTTGGCTTGGGTTTGAATTAATCAATTTTTTTTTGGATTTTTTCCGAGTTTCGCTGTTTAATGAAAACCGTTAAAGTCTTTTTATAATTTTGATTTGGTTTCCATTCGGTTTTTCTGTGTCGAGTTCTGGTTTCAGATAAAACAAAATGTCATATTTAAAATAAAAATTATTTTCACAACATACAACATTGAAAAGTAAAATTTGATATAGAAAAAAATAACAAAACCATCGCGCATTGCTCTCCTAGTATTTCTATAAAATATCAATAAAGCCCGAATTGATTCTCACACTCTCACCAATGACTCTCCTCAGCTCTCTCTTATTCATTCCTACTGACGCAACTCCATCCCCACGAAAACGTTGTGAGTCAAGCAAATCAAAATTTGTCTTTTCCAAACACCGAGAAGAAGAATGTTTGTCCGAATTTACCTTTGCCTTGAGATTCAGTGTGAGGAACCCGTTAGCTGTGTGAGATCTAACAGAGAAAGCATCCATGTGAAGATTGCTCAGAGTTTCCATGATGTCTGCAACTATGTAGTCTCTGTAAAAATATCTTACTTCGATCACAACTTCTGTTTCCTTGAGCTTAACTCTCAAATGTGTCTCATCCCTGAACACAGTGACTTTTTGGGTATCTCCTGAGTTTCCATCGATCTTCGTCATGCTGTCATCGTAATTCCCTTATGTCTCTTCGATCAATACAGAGTCGTTAAGGCTCTTTGTCGTCTTTCGTTGTCTCTCTACGAAATTAACTGATCCCATACAAGATTCTAGCTCTTCTACTCTTTCCTCCAGTTCTTGCAAGTACTTGATTGTGTTGTGTAGTATCGATTCTTTATCAACCTGTGGAAATATTTAAAACAAAGTCATATGGTTGAAACGTGAAACAAAAGAAACCTTTGAAGGATTCAAAACAGAACCTTGTGTCTGAAGCAAAGCAAGCCTTTAAGGATTTAGAAACAAAGTGTTGGTTTCTTATTTCTTATTATTAATGAAAAGTCAGTTATAAGGTGTGCTGATTTTTTTATTTTATTTTGTTGTTTGGTATGCTAAGTTGAAATCAAAATGAATCCGAACTTTGATAGAAAACAGACCTAATCAAAAGTCGGAAAGATGTAACTTCTGCAAGAACAATAAGTATAGATCTTTAATTTTCAGAAGAGGAAAGAGATGACATTGTCAAAAATTTCAACCAAACTCGGCAACGATTACAGTAAGTATCATGTTTTCTTCTCAGTAAATATACATAAAAGACACGAATCGTATATGTATTGAACAAGTGTATTTATAAAGAACAAATGAATCGTATATGTAGTATTACCAAAAGAAACAGTCGAATTGATAAATGCAGAACAAGCTGCAAGTGGTATTCAAAGGAATCACTTACCTCAGGCTTAACCCAACTCTCATGCAGTCTCAAAACTTCATAGAGTTGGAGAGATTCATCAAACGAATGCATAGTATAGCTTTCGTTTTTATATTCTCATACTGGAAATGGAATTTAGTGTCACTTGCAGGTGAAGCTGACTCGTGAATACTTATCAAAGTTGGATGGAGTCAAACCACGTTTGCAGTTGTAGCTAAAAATAAGCGACCTAATAAAATGAATGGTGTATATGTAATATAAGAAAAGAAATTGTAAATGTTATGTCTATTAAACGTTTTCACAGGAAATGGTTGCTAACAAAACTGAACATGCTACTGCACGTACTAAAAGAGCTAAAACACTTGTTCAACCGTTTCCATGTTCAATTGTGGAAACGCTTGACGGTTTAACGGCATAATAAACGTCATGTAGTCCTAAGCAGGAACTAGAAACTGAAAGGACATTGATATAGCCAAATCGAACGGTGTAGAAACAATTCATTCCGAAACAAGTTGTGACCGCTTTCCCGTTTCTCTACTTGTTCTTGTTCGTATTCCCTCTCTTCTTTGCCAAGCAAATCATAAGGAGTAAGGAATCATCGAGAATTTTGGAGTGGGCCAGACTATTGGTTTTGTTTAAGTTTTGCCTAAAGGCCCACCAGGCCCATCATCATTTCTCTTTGACGACAAAGGAGCGGCTCTTGTTGTTTACCTAGCCGTTTGACCTGCACAAAGAAAGAGAGAGATTGTGACTTGTGAGGTCTTGCGAGAGTAAGAGAGAAAAGTGGAGGGAGAGAGAGATAGTGGAGAAGAATAAGAACGTACCGAGAGCGAGCGATCACCAACTCTCCACCACCGTCGATCTGTCTCGGAGTCGCCGCCATCCCCGCGATTTTTGTTATCTTGGTCGCCATTGTTGCCGTTTGTTACCGAGAGATGATGTGTTGACAAATCTCCATTGTTGTGTTTTTGTTACTTCAGCCCCAAGCTTTCCTGCCTCGGTTGAGTTGTTGAGAAGAGTAAGCTCAAGCGAGTCAAAAGGTTAGCAAGCGAATAGGTTAGCTTCTTCTTCTCTTTAGCTCGATAATGAATGTTGTGTGAATGGATTGAAAATTGGATCATTTCTGTGGTGAATCTGTAGTCTGAATGGTCTCGACGTCATTATCCGACGATTATAAGCTCAATTTACTTTAATTGCTCTTATGTTCCTTAGCTTGAGTTAGTTTTCACCGATTTCATTTCTGAGTTTCTTGTTTTTCCCGGTTTGAATTCTGTGTCAGATTGTTTACTCCGTCAGTGGACAGTTTCGATTTCGTTTTGTAGAATTTGACTATAGTCTCAGTGAATTCACAGATGTCTAAGTAGCTTTCGATTAGAGTAGTGCTACGTTTCACTAATCTGTGATTACTTGATTTCATAACTTTGGTTATAAACGTATTTTGTTTCTGTTGATGCAATCAGAAAGAAAAAGAGTTGAAATGGCTGGTCCCGGTGGAAAGAAAGAAAAGGTTGATAAGGCTGATAAGGCTGGAAAGAAGAAGAAGGACCTCAAGAAGGAAACAGGTCTCGGACTCAGCGTGAAGAAAGATGAGAATTTCGGTGAATGGTATTCTGAGGTTTGTTTATATACTCAGCTTCTTTCCTGCATTGATTATTTTTAGTTCCAAGCAGGTTTTTTTATTTTATTTTACGTGTAGGTTTTGCAAACACGAGATGATTGAATACTACGATATCTCTGGTTGTTATATCCTTAGGCCATGGTCTATGGCGATTTGGGAGATCATGCAAGTGAGTATCTTCTTGTTTTTTTCTTCTTTATACTGTCTTTAAGTCAGAAGTTTGATCATTTTCTTTTCATTTTTTTCTTAGATTTTCTTTGATGCGGAAATCAAGAAAATGAAGGTCAAGAGTTGCTATTGCCCTCTGTTTGTATCTCCTGGTGTCCTGGAGAAGGAGAAGGACCATATCGAGGGATTCGCCCCTGAGGTTTGTTGTATATCTTAAATTTTTACTACTTGTCTTTGTGACACTTTAACAGGTTTGAATGTTTGTTTAGGTTGCTTGGGTTACAAAATCGGGTAAACATGACTTGGAAGTCCCAATTGCTATTCGTCCTACGAGTGAGACGGTGATGTATCCTTACTACAGCAAGTGGATAAGAGGGCACCGTGACTTGCCTTTGAAGCTTAACCAGTGGTGCAATGTTGTTAGATGGGAGTTCAGCAACCCTACCCCATTTATCCGGTATTTTACTTGTCTCTATAGCTTTTCTTTTCATATTTTGTAATGCTTTTTTTCTTGAGCTAGTCATTGTTTCTGCTGTGCATACTAGGCTTGGTATAGATTTAAACCTTTTGACACAGAATTTTGCTTGTCATAACCTACCTAATTGCAGGAGTCGTGAGTTCCTCTGGCAGGAAGGGCACACTGCTTTCGCCACGAAAGAAGAAGCAGATGAGGAGGTATGTGAACTTAAATTTTTGCCTGTTATCCAAACACTCCTTTTTGTTTGCTCCATGCAAGGGTTATATTTAGCAGCTGGAAATGATTTCGGTGAAATCCTTTCATCTTACTGCTGCTATTGTTCTCTAGGTCCTTCAAATTTTGGAGCTTTACCGTCGGATCTACGAGGAGTATCTCGCAGTCCCAGTTGTGAAAGGTATGAAGAGTGAAAATGAGAAGTTTGCTGGGGGGCTTTACACAACAAGTGTCGAGGTATGTCATCTTTCTGTTTTGTTTCAGAGAGAAATCTTCTTTTCTTGTCTTTATCAACTAAAACTTTGATTTGATTTGATAGGCTTTCATTCCAAACACCGGTCGTGGTGTACAAGGTGCAACCTCTCATTGTTTGGGACAAAACTTTGCAAAGATGTTTGAGATCAACTATGAGAATGAGAAAGGAGAGACCGCAATGGTGTGGCAGAATTCTTGGGCCTACAGTACCAGGACGGTACATACTTGAGTTAAACTTAGATTATTTTTCCATCATGGGTTCTATCACTTCACTGTTAACATTTCAAATTTCAAACCTTGTCTAGATTGGAGTAATGATTATGACTCACGGAGATGACAAAGGCCTGGTACTCCCTCCTAAAGTCGCATCTGTGCAAGTTGTTGTGATCCCTGTGCCCTACAAAGATGCCAATACCCAGGGGATTTTTGACGCCTGTGTTGCTACGGTAGCTGCCTTAGAGAAAGCTGGTATCCGTGCTGAAGCAGATTTAAGGGACAACTACTCTCCTGGATGGAAGTATTCAAACTGGGAAATGAAGGGTGTTCCTTTGAGAATTGAGATTGGACCCAGAGATTTGGAAAACAAACAGGTTAGCCTCTCGCTCATCTGTTGAATATCTTGGTTTATGCTGACAAGATAGTATATTAAACTTGGTTTGTATATTAAACTTGTAATGTAATCTACTTTTGGTTTTGCATCCCAATAGGTGAGAACTGTGAGACGGGACAACGGAGTTAAGGAAGATATCCCAAGCGAAAGCTTAGTCGAACATGTTGAGAAACTGCTTGGAGAGATCCAGCAGAACATGTTTCAAGTGGCCAAGCAAAAGAGGGAGGCATGTGTTGAAGAGGTAAAGACTTGGGATGAGTTTACCGAAGCTCTCAACAAAAAGAAACTCATCTTAGCTCCCTGGTGTGATGAAGAGGTACATTAACACAACAACAACAATTTTAACACACATTTTAGTTCGTGTGAGGATGCAATTTTAAGCTCCTTGAAAATGGAACCATTTGTAGGAAGTGGAGAGAGACGTCAAGGCACGTACGAAAGGTGAAACTGGAGCAGCTAAAACCCTTTGTTCTCCATTTGAGCAGCCAGAACTCCCTCAAGGTCAGACGCAGAGACTCTAAAACTATCTTAAGCAAATGTGCTCGTAAATTTTGTGCATCCCATTGACACTATGTTTCAATTTTGTTTACGATGCAGGCACTCTCTGCTTTGCATCAGGAAAGCCTGCGACGAAGTGGACTTATTGGGGAAGGAGTTACTAAAATGTTCACCAATGTTTTGGTTCATTTCACATTTACTTTTGACTTTCTCAAGTGCATTTTTCTTTGATTTGATATTGTGACCAAAAGCTATTTAAGTTTTCTTTTAATAACTGTGTGGACTACAAATAGATGGTTTTAATTTTAAACAACTGTTGCAACTTTCTCTTTTTCGATTAATGAACAACGAGCATTATCAGTCACATCGAAAATGTAGTCTAGAGGAACAAACAAACAAACAAAGTGTACACATATTACAGACACAGGCATATTTAACTAAGCCCATTAAAGGCCTAGTACTCCAATAATCTGTCACTCGTTACGAACCAGTCTTTTCTTTTTAAACAGTCGGTCTCTTTAACTTTTATCGATTTTCACTCACATTAGTAACTTTCTTCATCACTCAAAAATCTCTTCTTGGTAACCATAAGAGCCATGTCGGAATAAGAAACTTCCAGGTGTGTCCTAAACCGATTGATGAGTGGAGTAACTAATCTTTTTCAGACATTCTTTTCACTCCAACTAATCTTATTGTTTGTGGTTTTGCAGGATGAGACAGAGTTTAGGGAACTGAGAGAAACTCAAAATGAGGTACCTGAAACATCTTTCCTCTACTCTTCTTCCAATTTTCCATATACATCTTTAATTGAGTATGCATTTACATGTAAGTGTTTTCCTGTTCATTGAAGTATACAAGTTGATATTGCTTACTTCACATATGGCTTTATTGAGTACCGGTTGTACATTGCTAATTTTCTTGTTAAATCTTATTTGGTTTAAATGGGATTGATGTTAATACACTAAGCTTAAGAGTAGAAACGTAACTTTGTGGAGACATTACACAACAGCTTTAGTATTATTCTTCTCAAATAGCTTTTTATTTTCACAAGCTCTTCGTTGATGTGTTTTCTTCTGAATTGTTAATTGACTTAGGCTTAACTTTCTACTCAATGAAATTTCTTGCTCTGATGAAGTTGTTGACTTGTGTAAATTGAGTGTGGAAGTTTGTTCGATAATTGTGTGTGACATCCTTCTGAACAGATTTGGGTGCTAGATTCACAACTCTGAAAATAAACGAAACAAGGTATCATTTCATTAGTTAGTGATGCTACAAGTTTAGTTTGAGGATTAAATCTTTATTTTTGTTTACTAATCAAGAATAAGAATTTAAGTTTTATAATGCAAGATTAATGAATGAATTAGAATGCGAATGTGCATAAATATGAAAACACATAGAATATATTTACGTCTTTTGACCGTTAGAGGTGTATATTTTCAACCTGTCTTCAAATTTAACATCAAATTTGTGATTAACTTGGCAATCAATTTTCCAATATTTCAACATACTAAATAAAAAACAAATCGAATATATTCGATCCATTTATTTATGTTATCAACTCTTCCACCAATCTAAGTACTATATATGTATGGTTTTAGATAAACTCTAGTTTACATGAAAAAGAAGGATGCCTCCTGATCTTGTTCCTTTTACGAGGCAATCCACACAAACATTTTGGAACATACTGGGCTCTCTTTGGGAATTTCTTGGTTCAGTTTGGGTTTATTTATCCATTTTGTATTTGTGGATCTGTTTTAAACTAATGGGCTACTTTTGTAGTTTTGCTACCTTTTAAATGAATGAAGAACAAAAATTTAAAGAATGAGGAGTCGAAGCGCTTCACATTCCTCTAGTCTTGGTAATCGAACTTGTGGATTCCTTTAAAGCTATACTGTTTCTCTACGCAACATTCGTGTAACACTCTTTGGAAGCGATTCAGAAGGGTAAAATGCTTCACCATTTCGATCCTTCTACTCTGTTAATACAGTTTAACGTGGTAACTTGTGATAGACAAGACTGTTTACAATGCTGTTCTTCCATAGTGGAATCTTAATCTTTATTTTGGTTCTGTTTTTTTTTTTCCCGATTTACAAAAGGTTTGGCTGCGTAGGAGACGTCAGCAAGATCAATGGAGAAGCAAATTGATATGAAGATTACTTGGGTGATTAAAAATTTCTCCTCTTTGCCATCCAAGAAAATTCATTCGGATGAATTTGTCGTTGGTGGCTGCAGATGGAAGTGAAGTTGTTTTCTACTGTTTTGCCGTCTAATTTTTACGTTTCTGGGGATAACTCTCCTTCTTTTTCTGATTGTTTTCTTACGTTTTTTTTGCTTGCCTATCCCAAGGGAAGCTGTAAGGCGAATCATTTCTCTCTGTTTCTCTTCGTTGCTGATTCTGAATTTTTGCCTCTTGGATGGAGAAGACACGCTAAATTTTCGTTTACTATAGTGTGTAATAGATGCCATAATGAGTTGCCTCTTGATTTTTTGCCTCTTGCATGGATTCATCTCCACTACATTCACTATCGGAAATCATTTTTTGGATTTTCTCTGTCGGGTTCCTACAGATTTTTGGACTATAATTTTGCTACCATTGCATAATTTTCATTTACTTGGTTAAACATTCTTCAAAAGATGAAGCTTAGTTGGTCATGTTACTTACGTAAAATGATATTTGGCCCGTTCAGTTTGTGATCGGAAAAACAATCGTCGGCCAAACTCGAGATTATTAGAAGATAAAATCTTTTTTTTGTACGTTAAGATATCGCAAGTTCCAATAAAAACCAAATAATCGAAAAAACAAACATTCCTTAAATTCGAGTGATAAGATTCACTACGTGCATTTTTATAATTCTTTGAGCATTGAGTATAAATATTCTTGGAACGAGGATCAGCCGCGCCTTTTGCCAGTGATTGGAATTGCTTTTGTGTGTCTAAAGCTTCTCGTGATGCATCCTTGATCAAAAACTTTGCGACACCATCCAGATCCAATGTTTTGGTTTGAGGAGTTGATTTAAAGAAGTTGGAGCAAAATGAAGGATTCTTCGCATTTGAGCAGATATAGGTGACCTCACCTTCTGAAATTTGTACATTGAATGTTCCATGTGATGAGGAAGCTAGCAAGAAGAAAAAGCACTGCTAAAGGAAGCAATAAAAAGTTGTTTTTGACATACACAACCATGGTTATTCGTATGTTTTTGATATGAGGATTTTGTGTTCTTATTCTAAATATTTTGGCAATTATTGTGAGGTTTATATATAGTAGTACCGAACATATGTTAAACATAGAATGTTTTGGTTAATGTGTTTGATTTATATCAAAGCATTCGATAGTTTCCCTTTTTCTTAAGTAGATCTACAGGTCTTAGAAATTACAGATTTCATTCTTGTACACATTTATAAAAGAGAAAATTACTTTATAAAAATAACTTACTTCACGGTTCACATATCTAAAAAAAGCAGAAAATCGTCTCTTTTTGGTAGTATATTAGATGATTTTTGAATTTTGGAATTACTGTGCAGACTTGCTGGATATGTGCGGGTTGCTCTTGCTCACCACGGCTCGAATTGCATGGACCGAAACAATTCATACTTATCTTTCAAATACATAGAGATTCAGAAAATGTGACACTAATCAAGGTATTATAAAATACCGTTTTGCATTTATTTATCGTATATTTACTGTGTTTATAAATGCGACTATAATAATATTGTTGAGTTTCTTCGAAATGTTAAGCTACCTTGTAAAACAGTGTAGGGAACGTAGTATTGTCACACCACACACACATCAAAGTTAAACAAAAGATGTAGCAGAAAGATTGAGCCCTCAAAATCACAACAAATCATAACAATGACTCTCATTTTATTGAACACTCTCAGTAAACTCAGATTAGTTTAGTGCAAAGGATCAACAACTTGACCAACGAACAGAACCAATCCTGTTGTGTTCTCTTTAACAACCAACAGAAACGGATGGTCCGCAACAAAATCAATAATCTTTTCCTTCCTAGGCGCATACATTAACGTCGTAACTCCAGCTGATGCAGCAGCAGCTTCTGTTCCTTCTTCATTCACTTCGATACAAGCTTTATGGAAAATGCTCGACACGCTTAGCTTCTTCCCCATCTCCGGCGATTCCACCATCTCAGTCAGTCCGTCGAACGGCGAAGTCAGCCCAAATCCTTTCAAAACATCCGAAGCTTCGAACCCGAAAGAGAATTTAAACTTGGGAATCTTGAATTCTCTGACTTTAACTTGTCTCCGTGGAATGTGGCTCTCCAAGAACCCATCAGTAGAAACAATCTTGTCAAGAAGATAAGACAATCCGTTGTTGTTTCTAAATTTTTTGAGAAAGTAGCCAAACAATCCGTTGTTTGCATCGGGAAGATAAAAGTACATTGAGAACTGTCTCTTATCCTCTCCTTGTGAGTAAGGAAGCCTCAATACTTTGAAACCATCGTAAGCGCTTACGTACTGATCCTTCTTGCTGGTCATGAACGGTGCAGTCACTTTAGCACCGCCAAGAAGGTGAAAGTCGCCGTCTGTCGTTAGCGATTCGTCGAACTTCTCGTCCCATGTGCCTTTGAAGTACAACGCGTTTGCGAATATCAGTTTGGTCATACAATCAGCTGATCCTTGTGGTAACACCTCAGTGATGAGACCATTCGTCTCTCTCTCAGCCCATGCATTCACCTCCGCAATCACTTCCACAGACTTGCAACACAAGTCATCAAACATAAAAGCTATCATCAGTAAAATCAACCACAAGTCTGCTTGAGTAGAAGAAAGAAAGTGGAAAGTCACCTTGGTCTGGAAATCTGCTTGAGTAGAAGCAGCTTTGTAGGAATCATCTAAGAGCTGCTTGAAGGAAGGTTTGAAGGAGAGAGACTTATCGATCCAGACGCCATTAGCCGCCGAGAGTTTAGGACCACCGTTAGCGCTACCGTCGGCGAAAACGGCAGAGATAATATCGGAGGAGAAGCTGTTGATGGAAGAGAAGTTGAGAAAAGAGAGGATCTGGTCCTTGGTTGCGCCGGTGGATCCAGCAGCGATCACACTGAGGACGACGTTGATGGACGCAGGAGAGAAGATGACGTTAGAGCCTTTAGAGACGGTGGAGATCACGTGCCTGGCGAAGCTCAAAGAGACCTGGTTTTGCAGCGATATTGATTCTCTCACGTCCATGACCATTATTCGCCGGAGGAGGAGGAGGTGATGACTGACAGGTCGACGAGTTTACTGGTCAAAATATTAAATGCTTTCTGTTGAGAGACGTGGTAAAGAAGAAAGCAACGTGTGATAGAAGAATTGAAAGAGAAATATATATTTTTTATTCCACCGCGTATGCTTATTGTCCTCTGGAAGGTGATCCATGTACACATTCATATTTATGATTGTGACGTATGTTTGTGCATCCATGTACACATTCATATTTGAAGAAATTACGGATTCACATTTATGATTGTGACGTATGATTGTGCATCCATGTACACATTCATATTTCTTACAAAACAAGTCTAGGTCTCTGGTAACGTCTGTTTTGGATTTGAAATAAAGTTATAAAGAGAAGAAGCATGAAACTGTGTATATATCTCAAGTTTCACCACAAAGGAAGGTTTTTATTTTTATTGTTTAGTGCAGATAATCTTTACTTTAGACAGCATTTTAACATATGCGATAACCAATTTGCTATTTTACTTTAGACATCATTTTTTCTGTTATATGGTCAAACTCAATATTATTATAAAAAAAATTATTTTATTACCAATTTAATTGGTTATCGTATATGTTAAGAAATATATAGCAAATTCCAATAAAAATTAGAATTACAAGACCGTATATTAGAAAAAAAAAAAACATTCCTTACAGTCAAGTGATAACATTTTACAGTATTAGTTTTTACTTAGTTAGTAGAAATCACCAAAAGTGATAACACTTTCTTCTAAAGGATATTCATCCACTTAACCGTACATCACCACTAATATCATTTATCCCCAAGTTTCATAAGCTTTCTCTCCAAACTTTTTTTCCACTATAAATAGGCATGGGTTCATCACTTGTAATGTAAGGTAGTAGAAGTTGGAGAGAGTTTTTTAAAAGATAAAAATGAAGCGAAAATTGTAGATATTTTTTTCGTCATTTGTTGGAGAATTTCACCTTTTGACAAAATAAATTTAAAGGACCATTGAAGATGATAATAGAGAGAGCAATTTCTATGATAGTAAGCAATAAAAATTGAGTATCCCGATTAAAGCCAACATAAGATATCAATATATATAATATTTTTATTAATTTTTAGGTAATATTTTAATCACCAAAACAATTTCTGATATATTGTCAATATCGGATATCTTCTTTAAGAGTTCTGGACTAATTTTAACTTTTGGCAAGTCGGAATTGCACGTCTCTGCCTCTGTCATCGCAGCCGAGACATTAATGTTTAAGCCTCCAATGTCCTTTGATGTCAAAGCTTTGAGGGCATCATCAAAATCGCTAACTGCATTATGAAAATTTTCTACACATGAACTTAAAATACGCTTAGATCGAAGATCTCCAGCCTGTTGTTTGAGTGATTCGAATTGCTTCTTCGCATCTAAGGCATCTTGTGACGCATAATTGATTAAAGATTTTGCAACACCAGAAATATCCAATGTTTTGAGTCCAGGATTCGATTTAAAGAAGTTGAAGCAAAAAGAAGGATTTTCAGATTTTGAACAGATGGTGTTGATCTCGCCTTCTGAAATTTTCGTAATAAACCTTCCATATGATGAGGTTACAAGAAGAAAAAGCACTACGAAAGGAACCAACAAGAAGTTGTTTTTCACATGCACAACCATGTTTGTTTATACGTTTGTAATATGAGGATTATATATTTTCTTGTTATTTGAGTGCTGTTGTGTGATTGTTATATATATAGTGAAGTAAACCATATCTACACTTTGAAATATATGTCAACATATTTATTTTTGGTCTCACCTGTTTATTTAATTATATACCATAATAAAGGTCTCTTCAGTCAATATCATTAAATGAAGAGAAAATTACCTTAACCAACCTTATAAATAATAGGGTAATTACACAAACAACTTTTAAAATGTGAGAAATTATAAAAAAGTGGCAAAAAGTATTGTTTGAGTAATTTTGTTAAGTGTAGCTAATATAAACCACTCGGGCCCAAATTCTTTTTAGGATAACTAAAGAATTATGTGTAAAGACTTGTACGGCCCATTTGAGTTTGGTTAGTAAATAAATATCATTTACATATATTAAGAGCAACAAGATCCGCTGTAGCACTACGGTTAAATCCTTTGCAATGAGTTTAAGTACTCATTTCACACTTGGAAATCCGGGTTCGAACCCCGGCAGCGGAATAACTTTTGGATTTTTCTTTTTCTTTTTAAAAGAGCAAGAATATGACACGGATATTTTGCTTGTACCCGCCTAACTAATATGGGAGTTTTAACGTTTTTGTTCAAGGAACATTTTATGGCAAGAAAAACTCTGCCAACACAAGAAGATTTGGAGTTGTTAAGAAATTGTCTGTTTGATCGAATCTGGATTCTTCATTACTTTAACCAACCTTACACAAAACAAATCTAAAAAGTACAAATTGATCACTGTGTTTGCTCTGTTTTTTGGTGATTGTTCCAGTAGAATTTTGATCACTTGCTCAACAACACCTTTATCCTATGGAATCTGCAAAATTACAACTTTACAAAACAGTACGAGGATTGAAAAAATTAACATTCATACCATCTCCTTTATTCACATGAAGCGTCCAAAAGCATCTACTCTGAACAAATGCATTGATTAATGCCTTGAAACTGACTATAACGCAGCTAAATTCTCCTCTTCAAAGAAATCGATCAGAGGTTTCAAAACCAGCCCCGATGTAGTCACTTTCAATGCATTGATCGACGCAATAACCGGTCAATAACCGAGTTTCGTCATCTACGGAGCAAGAGAGGGTTGATCAAGCTTCGGCTGAAGAAACAAAATTCATTTGGAAGATTGAAAATAAAGAGATCAGATGAAATGAAAATTCTAGCGCAGAGATAGATCAGATCACACGGATGAAGATGAAGGAAGAAGAATCAAATCATTGAAAGATTAAAAGTTCATATAAATAGAGAATGAAGGAAGATGAGACGTGAAGAAGCGGCGTACAAATAAAAATGGTTTGATGATAAGAAACCCTAATTAAGTCTCGAATCAAGTAATGGGCCGATATATCATACGAGCGGCCCAAACTTTGATTTTGTTGTTGTTGGAGGAGTCGAATTTGTGGAGAAGAACAAAGAAATAAGGAGAGAATGAAAAACTGAACAAGACAATAAGAAGAATCCGTGTATAAGCCTAAGATCTTCTCTCTATAGCTGAATCAGATCGGTCTCATTTCCTAAATTACACAGATTAAGACAAAGATGCTTATGAAGTGTTTGTATTTTGTTAATGTTTTAACAAAATGGTAAAACCGTCACTATAACGAAGTGTAAAATAGTTTAACTGAAAATGAAAATGTACTTTACGTAAAGTCTAGAGATCATAATAGAAAAATCATTAACAAAAAGGAAAAGGGAACGTTGAAAGGTAAAAAAAGCATGATCAATTGATCATGTCATTTAATAATCATAAGTATAATAATGTAATTGTCCTCTTACAAACAATACAATCAAATCAGAGCAAACACATGATGAATAATGATTTTTCAAATTAAGCTCCACGCGGTAACATGTTAGCGATAACAAGAGCAATACCACAAAGGTTCTTAATTCCTTTACTGTTATTCACAACCGAAGCATCTACTGATCTCAATCTCTTGACATCATCCAAACATGCATCAGCTCCATCCAATGCAGCTGACACTTTTATGTTCATCCCCATGCCATCTCCTGAAGCCAAATGCTCATAAGCTTCCTCTATGTTTCCAATGGCCATTTCGTATGCATCTACGCATGATCTGTACGCTAGCTTGGATCGAGGGTCGACTCCTCCATCGATAATAGCGTTGAGTCTCTTAAACGTTGCTTTTGCTCTTGATTGTGTAGCATCAAGTGTGGTTTTGGCCAAGGCTTGGAGGTTAGGAGATGCGAATTTGGGGTTGAGGAATTTAAGACAGTAAGATGGGTTTACGGTTTGGTCACAGATTCTGCTCATCTCTGAACTTGCGATTGCGTATGAGGAACCAATTAAGAGAAGAAACATGAGAGAAGACAAGAACGCATTGTTCCTTAGATTCGCAGCCATTCTTGTTTTCTGTCTTCTTTTGTTTTCTCTATATTATTATGATCGAAAAATGATAATTCGAAGCACTGAGTATATATATATATATATATACAGAGTGATTTACGGACAACCCATTGGTTAAAACAGAATCAAGAATAGCAAATTGATATTGACGATGATGAAAGATTTCGCCATTGTTAGAAGATTTGCAAATATAGTAAAAAAAGTCATGCACAAGTTACTTTTTTGTTTGGTTCAACTTTCACAAGTTATTTATGACTTATCTTTGTGAATGTGCACACAAAAAGTTAAACGTCTATCTAAAATGTTCGTAAATTTGCCTATGATATCATCATCAATTGTACGTGGTAGTGAATGTATAATGATGTATACCGAAAATATTGATGTAAACCGGAGAAATCAAATTTGGGAGTAAACGTAAACCGAAGAAAATCGAACAGACGCAATAAATGGAAGCCAACTTGGTTTCCTCAATAACCCAAATCGGGACGAGTGAATGTTGAATTATATTATTACGGATCATGCCTAACCCGAAACTGAACATATGAAGAACATTAACGAATAAAAACAGTATAGTATCTTCTCAGATCATTCCAAATCCACCAGAAAAAGGGACAAACCGAAGGCTTAACCACAGAAAACCAAACCAAATGTTACCAAATCCAACCGGGTTATCGATTTGGCTTTGTCCTAGGTGGCTCTCTCCTTTAAGGTCCTCCTAGAGAAGAATGTGGGCCAAGACAAAAAATCAGAACCGCAAATCAAAAATCTGAACCAACACAGAACGAAACAAAATTAAACCAAACCGTAAAATCACATACCTTCTTGCCTTTATATGTGAATAGCCTTGTCATAAGTGGCCATGGCAGCTTCCTTGAGAGCCTCACTCATAGTAGGATGTGCGTGACAGACTCGAGCAATGTCTTCACTCGACGCATCGTAGTTAATCGCAAGAACCGCCTCGTGGATCAGCTCTCCAGCGTTTGGCGACATAATGTGAACACCCAAGATCTTATCCGTCTCCTTATCAGCCAAAATCTTAACCAATCCTTCAGCGTTATCAATGGCCTTAGCTCTACTATTAGCCATAAACGGAAACTTCCCAACCTTATAGCTCACACCTTCCTTCTTCAGCTGCTCTTCTGTTTTACCAACCGAAGCAACCTCAGGATGCGTGTAAACAACACCAGGAACCTTATCATAATCCACATGGCCGTGCTTGCCAGCTATGAACTCCACACAAGCAACACCGTCTTCTTCGGCTTTGTGAGCAAGCATCGGTCCCGGAATCACATCTCCAATCGCGTAGACGCCTGAGACGTTAGTCACGAACCTCTCGTTCACTAGAATCCTCCCGGCTTTATCAGTCTCCACTCCGATTTTCTCCAGATCAAGTCCAGACGTGAACGGTGTCCTCCCCGCTGAGACAAGAACAACATCGGCTTCGAGTGTAGTCTGCTCTCCACCTTCAGCTGGCTCCACTGTGAGCTTCACGCCGTCTCCAGAGGCATCAACGGATACAACTTTAGTCTTGAGCATGAACTTCATCTTCTGCTTCTCCAGCGACCGTTGAAACTGCTTGCGGATTTCGCCGTCCATCGAAGGAACAATATCACCAGCAAACTCAACAACCGTGACCTCTGATCCAAGCCGACCCCAAACAGAACCCATCTCCAGCCCAATGTAACCCGCACCAATCACAATCAGCTTCTTCGGGACTTCGGATAGAGACAACGCTCCAGTCGAGGAAACAATCTTCTTCTCATCGATTGTAATCCCGGGCAGAGACTTGACGTCTGAGCCGGTAGCTACAATGATGTGCTTCCCTTTCACAACGGTGTTTTCTCCATCGATCGTCTCCACGGAGACTTCATTCGGGGAGAGAAATTTACCATATCCCTTGACGTATGTCACTTTGTTCTTCTTGAACAAACCCTCGATACCACGAGTCAGGTTCTTGACCGCATTGTCTTTCTGAGCCAACATAGCAGGAAGATCTACCTCAACCGAACCCAGCTTGATACCGTGGTTGGCAAAAGAGTGCGTCGCCTCGTGGTACATATGTGAAGAGTGAAGAAGAGCCTATTGCATTAAAGAAGACAAAAAGAAAAGAGCTCATCAGAAGCCAATAACATCATCATAGACTAACTCATCAGAAAGCTAAAATGATTAATAGCTCATGAAAACAGTGCATATGGAACAAAAAGGTTAATACAAATTGCTAATGTTACTACTGTATCACAGATTGTGGTTTCATCTAACTGAGCTATGATATACAAACACATAAATCACAATCTAAAGTTTAACAGGAAAATATACGAACAGTGACGACCATTTCGTTTCCATGGAATCGATATGAGACGAATCCAGAATTTGCAATTTAGTAATCATGGAATAAGAGTGCTCAAGCAAATGGGATTAAGCCGAAAAATCATCGGAAAGATAGAGGTTAACTGTTCGATTGATTCATCCGAAAAAATGCACAGATCAAATCCCAATGACGAGCAGCGAGAATAGCCAGTAATCAATTGAGAAACGAGAGGGGATTTTTCGAAATTGACCTTCGAGGGAATGCATCCGACGTTGAGACAAGTACCACCGAGTGCGCCGCGCTTCTCGATACACGTGGTTTTGAGGCCAAGCTGAGCCGCTTTGATCGCTGCCACGTAACCGCCGGGACCGCCGCCGATGATGACCACGTCGTTCTCATCAGATCCCGATGAGGCGAAGCCACGGGAGAGGGAGAAGGAGAATCTGAGAGCGTCAGTGGAAGAGCTGGTTACGTTTCTGGTGAGGAAATACGCCTTTCTCCTTGCTAAACTCGCCATCGCCATTGTTGTTGAGAGAGAGAGAGAGAGAGAGAGACTTGGCTCCTTGTAGAGACGAACAGAGCCGGCAAATGTAAAAGAGGCCTCAGACCTTTTTGATCACGAATATTAATATTTCCGTAATTGACCAAATAATATTACAAAAATCTTATGGGATTAATTAACCTTTTGGTTCACAAGGATGTCAATACTTTGAATTACCAAAATCTAAACACTAATCTAACCTAATAATGTCCACCAAATATTCGAAATTTTATAACAAAATTATCCAAATCCAAATTTCAATCATTTATTTTTTTGTCAAAAACATTTGAATCATTTTTAATCATAAAAAGCACATTACACAGACAAAGATATGTACAAAAAAATATATGGACATGAAGATTCTTGATTGGAGAAGAAGATAAAGAGATAAAGATAGAGATGATGAGAAGCAATGACACAAGGTTCGGATTGAAGCTTTTGAGATAAAACTCGAAAGTCTTTCAGAGACCACAAAATCTCACAAGTTCCATAGATATGGGAGAGAGAGATTCCTTGAAAACAAACCTCATGCTCTCAAACAAAATCAAGATTCAAGTAATAATTTAAATAAAAATCCTTAAAACAATAAATGGGTACATCACTAATCCTCAAAAACAAAAAGTTGAAAATCCTCATCACCAGTTTGGTGTTTCTGCTTTCAATAATCCTAACAAAACTTTAGGCTGCTTTTTCTCTATCTCTCCCTCACTCTTCTGAAACAACCAAACAAACAGATGAATCAAAAATGACCAACCACATTACAAACAATGTCCTCTCCTCTCCTCTCTCTATCTCTGCCTAACTCCTTTATTTTATCTCATTGAAACCAATCTCAAATTAGAAGAATAAGAATAATCGCTTCATCGGTCTAAAACCGATACCTCTTCATATACACTGCCAAACAACAAAAAAAAACTGATTTCAGTTGCCTCCAAGCATCGCTTGCAACCGAGCTCTGGCTTCTTCAGAAACACAGAACCTCAATCTTCGCCTTTGAGGCGAAGACGGCACTGAGGAGAAGCAGATGACCACAACCGTCATATTATCAGACGAATTAAGCCTCGCCGCTTCTTTACCAAGTTCCATTGCGCATTGCCTCGGGTCACCATGCCTTCTCAGTCCTTGCCTTACGTTACTCACTGCGTTCTGGCTCGACAACACATCCCATATACCATCACACGCCAGAATCAAGAACTCGTCGTCCTCCGTTAAAACCATCTGTTGAATCTCCGGGTCTGAGATCAGAGGTGAAGATGAGCCAGCGAAAGGATGCTTTAGCTCCCAATCTCCAATGGCACGTGTCACAGCGAGGACCCCGTTGAGGTACCCGTCTTCAAAATGTCCTCCAAGATCCTCAATCCGTCTTCGCTCTGGCTCATACGTTGATCTGTGGTCGAAAGACAAATCAACAGCAACTCCTCTCCGGCATAGCACTGCACGGCAATCTCCAGCGTTAGCGACCAGAAGATGTCTTCCGATTATGAGAGCGGTCAAGGCGGTTGTCCCGCATGAACCGCTGACAATGCTCTCATCGGCCATGGCGAGATCAGCCAAGGCAAAGGCTTTCCGGTGAGAGTTCTCCAGTTCTTCCAAGAAGAATGCGTCAACAATGGAGGGCATCTCCGGAAACACAGTATCTTGGAAAAACAATCTCGTCACGTTCTCCTTCATGTAAAGTGATGCCTCAGCTCCACCATGGCCATCAAACACTCCGTAGAAAGCACTTGGCTCAGAGATGTTCAAGGAGCGAAGCTGAGCTGATAAGTCGTCAATGCAAATGTGTTCGTCTTCCATGGTTTCCCGGTCACGAATGTCGGAGAAGCTCCCTGAACGTATAGTTGGGATAAACTCAGTGGTGGGTTCTTCAATGGACGTAGTTGCAAAACTCATGCCCTGTTAAGATGGATGTAAATGTAAATGATTAATACTACTGTTCATAGCTTTCACAGAGCAAAACAGAGATTTCATCAAAACTAAATAAACAGAAAAATCAGAACAGAGCATGATCAATAATTTAATGGGCATTTAAGTCGTTGCTATAACAATGTAAATTTGATTCAGCAACAGCTAAACTAAACAATCTTCACAATATAGCAAAGGCGTAACTTTTCTCGAAATGTTTAAAGGACTCTTCGAGAAAAGGGTAAGGAGGATTCAACATTATTATGCTCGAGAGAAAAACCCCAAATCCAATCTAAGCCCTGATGAAAAAATTGATCATTTTCAGAATTTCGGAGACGATCGCATCGCAAAAGCTCATAAACAAAACCCAATTAGATCCCACTTCCGATGAAATGGGAAATTCTGGAATGAGACATAAAACAGCAGAAACCCAATAAAAAAAATGTATGAGAGATTCAGATCAAGAGCCCTAAACACATACCGATCCGAATCGAGGCGTTTCAGCGGAACCCGAAATCTCAGCACGGACGGACTCAGAAACTCGGACTTCGTCGATCTGGAAATTCTTCTGCTCTTTGGGAGCGGAGATATGGCACTTGACGTCGAGAACCCTGATCTCAGGCTCAGCAACCATGGTTTGACTCAGAATCATGACTTGTATCCACTTGTTATAATCAAAATCGAGCAGATCCGATTGCGAAATCCACCGAAAAGGTGAAATCGAGGAATAAATCCGCGAAATTTGGGCTAGTGGCGCTTTGCTTGGACGCAATTGAAATTCGCCCGAAAGAATAAAGAAAACAGGAAAAAGTAAATTAGGGTTTGATTTCTGTGTTGGATGTTTGTTTGCATATCTCTCTCTCTCTCTATCGACAGATGCTGAGATGCCCATATTAAATAAATAAATAATAATTGACCAAAAATCAAACAATTATAATAATAATGAAAATAAATGACTATTTCGGTATTTCCGGACCAAAATAAATAAATGTTTGTAAAAAAAATAAAAGTCTCTAAAATCAGCTCTAAATATTAAAAGTTGGTTAATATCCGATTGTCCATGTTCAATTAACTCGAACATTTAAACTGCAAATTGAAGTTAAATCTTAAAGACCGTGGATCATCATATTGTGAGCAAGAACAAAGCTTGTAGATTCATTTCATACTCTTAAAAAGTTTATTAAAAGATAAATTATAACTGAAAATAAGATAGTTCATTGAGCTTTATTAAGTGCAATAAAAGTAAAGAGATTCAGTTTAAAGTTAAGAAGGAAGAAGAACAAATTAAAGAAGAAAGATAGAAAGATGGAGTAATTTTGTCGACAAAACAAAACATGTATGAGTGTATGACTCTAACCTTAAGTGTGAGATGGAGTAATTTTGTCGACAAAACAAAACATGTATGAGTATGACACTAATTAACCTTAAGTACGAGATGGTTAGATCCTTAATTAGTAATGTTTCGTTTGGTCATATACAACTGTAATGGTCTAATTCCCAAAAAAAAGAAACAAAGGGAATACTAGATAAAATTCTAAATAAGTGATGGACATCTATGATATGTATTAACGTGTTGTGTGTTTATCTTATAATAATTTAAATCCAATCGTCGAACTATAGGATTGTATCATATGGCCATAGATGTACTCATACTTGTCATCTTTCTTGTTTTTAGTAGGGAAAGAAAAAAGTTGAAATGTGAAATGCAAAATTTATTTAAATCAGTTTCGATTTTATATAAAAAAAAATATAATTAAAATCTTCTTAAGATTTGAATGTATCCAAATAAATTCAAGTCACAAATCCAATATGCAACTATATATAAGTTTGAAGAGTTCTCTAGGGTTTTGTTGTTAGTTTGTTACTAATTACTATTCAGGTGGCCACCATGAAAACACAGCAGCAGCAACAAAGACATGAAGACAACGACAAAGGCGTGATCACAATCCGTGGAAACAACATAGAACCGATTCCACTAGATATGATCATCGAGATACTCAAAAGATTGCCAGCGAAATCTCTTATGAGATTCATATGCGTATCGAAGCAATGGTGTTCCATAATTCGTAGCCGATCATTCACCAGCTCTTTCATGTCTATGTCTCTGTCTCGACCTCGTCTCCTCTTCTGCTATGATATTTATCATCACCCTATCCATAACGACAATCGATTGCTCTTTCTCTCTTTGCCTCTTCTTCCTCAAGAATCAAAACAAGCATCATCAATGGTATTCAAACATGACTTTCCGTTTCCGGACTCAAGTAACTATACTAGCATGGTATTTTGCAATCTTGTCCGTGGCATCATCTGCATGTATGTCTCGGGTGGTTACCTTCTATGTAATCCAACTACAAGACAAGTACTAAAGATACCTAATGTGTCTTGTTCTAACCTTGACTATAGTAAGTGTTTTATGTGTTTGGCGTACGACACAAGCAAAGATCAGTTCAAGATATTCAACAGGATGGTGAGCTTATCCGGAACTAGTCATCATAGTGTATGTGCATTGGAATTAGGTCAAGAACCATCATTTTCGTCGTGGAGTCACGTGGAAAGTAGTGTCTTATACGATGGTGTGTGTACTAATGTGGTATCCATCGATGGAGTTGTGTATTATGGAGCATGTAAGGGTTGCTTTGTGATAGTGAGTGTTGATGTTGTGTCTGAACGGTTGCTTCTCATTGAAACACCACACAAAGATTACTATGTGCATTGTTTAATAAACTACAAAGGGAAATTAGCTTGCGTTTGTTTCCTTTCAGTTTTTAGTCACTGGAACTATCTATTGCATGTTCTTGATGATGCTAAAAAGCAGATTTGGTCGACCAAGATTGGGGTTTATACTCCTGTTACTGATGCGTACCCTAATATCGGAGTAAGAATCTGCATCAGCAGTACTAATGATGGCAAAATCATTTTTGTACCGGGTTCAAGTGCGAATGCTTTTGAGATTTTATATCACGATTTGGAAAAGTGCACGATGAGAAGAAGAGGTTTAATTGGAGAAATCAAAGTTGATGATAAGCTCCTCAGGTGTCATAGCAACATTGTTCAGGGTCTCTCTATTTCATGTGACCATGTAGAAAATATTATTTCGTTTTCAAGATCTGACGATCTATTGATCTAAGGGCCGGGTTAGAGTTTTTCTTTTTTTTTTTAGCTTTTGTGTAATAGAGAAAACACCTTTATCGCTTTGAAACTTGAAAGAGTTTTTTTTTTTTTTTTTTTTTTTGTTTGTTTGTTTGTTTTGGTTTTAATGTTAATACAGAAGAGTTTTTGGTTCAGGATTGTTCTTATTATAGTCGTTGGTCCAATTTGATTCCCAATCAATAGCAACGAAACAATTAAACAATTCAACCCCAATCGCCTTAAATTTTATAACCTGTGAAAGCTACTCATGATCCTTAATTTTTTTTATACAAAGCGAAGCGTAATGGGCCTTATTTCTTGGATATTTCAGCCCAATGGGCTTATCTCATTTTAAGATCCGCTTAAAATGAAGAAGAAAGAAGTTGTCAGAGTCGGCTCAATTTCTTTCACAGCCTATTTTTCAAAAAAATTGTTCGTCTTCTACTCTTTCTTCTTCGATTCATCACTTTATTCTGCTTCTCCTTCTTCTTTAAACACCATTTTCCAGCAATAGGTTGTCAATGGCGCGTAATCGGGTAATAGTTTCTCGATTTCTTATACTTCCTTATTTTGTTCTCTTCGTGATTGTGTCTAGGTTTTTTTCCAGAATCAATTCATCAAAATCTCACCTTCTTCAGCATCTGTTTGTTTCTATCGATCTTTCTTTTTAAATTTCCTCTTAGTTTCGTTCATGTTATTCTCCGTTCCTGCATGCTTTTTCTTCTTCTTCTTCTCATATCCTTTTTTGGTATACTAATGGTGTTTAAATTGATTTTGACTTCGTTTTATGCATTACGAATCAACATCGGGGTTTCAACATTTGCTTGAGTTAATATTTTACTGTTGATATCTCTTTTACAATTCATCTCCGAAGTGTTTCTGGAGTGATTTAGAGTTCGAGTTTTCTTTTCTGCAAAATTTTTCCTTTTCCATTTGATAACGAAAAAGGAACTTTTAATTTTGTGTGTTCTTCGAAAACAGGAGGGTTTGGTTTTGCTGCTCGATGTAGGCCCGGCGATGCATAGTATACTCGATGATGTTGAAAAGACTTGTTCATTGCTTCTGCAAAAGAAGGTCGAAGATCCTTCTCTCGTTCTAATTCTTTTAATCTAATGGAAATGTGAATTTTTGAGCTTTTTTTTTTCTTTTGGATATTGCATTATCGGTTTCTGGTTTTTGGCTCTTGTTGCAGTTGATTTACAACAAGTTTGATGAAGTTGGCATTGTTGCCTTTGGAACTGAAGGTCTCTTCTTTGATAATGCCTTTGATGTTGCATTTTGATTACTAATTCAGCTATTTGTTAATCATGTTTCATGTTGACCTCTGCAGCAACCGATAACGAGCTCGCTAGAGACATAGGTGGATATGAGAACGTCACCGTTTTAAGAAACATCAGAGTCGTCGACGAAGTCGTGGCTGAGAATGTGAAGCGGCTCCCTCGAGGAACCGTAGCCGGCGACTGTATCCTAATCCTCCTAACTAACTTCTTCCTTGCTTTTGCCATTTTCTTTCTTTTGTTTATATATCTTTTGTGGTTTCTTTGACTGGCTTCAGTTCTTGATGCTTTAATCGTTGGCATGGACATGCTTATAAAAAAGTACGGCGCTTTGCAAAAAGGGAAGAAACGTTTGTGTCTCATCACCAACGCAGCGTGTCCTACCAAAGACCCATTCGAAGGGACGAAAGACGAGCAAGTCAGCACCATCGCTATCAAAATGGCTGAAGAGGGTATAAAGATGGAGAGCATTGTTATGAGGTCCAATGCAAGCGGTGGTGGTGATGCTCATGAGAAGATAGTAGAGGAGAATGATCATTTGCTGAATCTGTTCTCCAGCAACGCCTTTGCTAAAACAGTTTATGTTGAGAGTCCTCTCTCACTGCTTGGCTCCTTGAAGACGAGGAGAGTTGCTCCGGTTACTATCTTCAGAGGTGACCTTGAGATTAACCCAACAATGAAGCTTAAGGTAACATTTTGTGTGGGTTTTATCTTTTGCTTGGTGTTGTTCTGAGGATAGGAAGTTTGAGTTTTGTAGGTGTGGGTTTATAAGAAAGTGGCGGAGGAGAGACTTCCCACGCTGAAGATGTATTCTGACAAGGCGCCTCCAACGGACAAGTTTGCTAAACATGAAGTGAAGATTGATTACGATTACAAAGTTACCGCAGAGTCTAGTGAGGTTCTTGCTCCGGAAGAGAGGATCAAGGGGTTTCGCTACGGACCTCATGTTATCCCTATATCACCAGATGAGATGGAGACACTCAAGTTCAAAACTGAGAAAGGCATGAAGCTTTTGGGATTCACCGAGGCGTCAAACATACTGAGGTAAGGTCAAGATAAAGGTGTGTATATGTATATATGTTTATGGTTTGTTGTAGTCTGAGAGAGAATCTTGTTTTTGTGTATCAAACGAAGGCATTACTACATGAAAGACGTGAACATAGTCGTTCCTGACCCGAGCAAAGAGAAATCGATGATCGCCGTCTCTGCTATTGCTAAAGCAATGAAGGAAACGAACAAGGTTGCGATTGTGCGTTGTGTATGGAGAAATGGACAAACGAATGTGGTTGTTGGTGTCCTGACTCCAAATGTCTCTGAACGAGATGACACTGTAAGTTTAACATCTGCTCATGGAAACACTTCTGTTATGAAGCCAGATGATCATTTTACCTATTTTTTTGGCAGCCTGATTCTTTCTACTTCAACGTGCTGCCTTTCGCCGAGGACATCCGGGAGTTTCCGTTTCCTTCTTTCAGCAGATTTCCTGGGTCTTGGAAGCCAGATGAGCAACAGCAAGCAGTGGCGGATAATTTTGTCAAAATGCTTGACCTTGCACCTTCTCCTAAAGAAGAAGTGCTAAAGCCTGAGCTTACTCCTAACCCGGTTCTGCAGGTAAAACCCGTTTTCTCTTCCTGATAGTTGTATCCGAACGCGTTCTGATGGAAGATTTTACATCTTGTCAGCGGTTTTATGAATATCTTGAGTTGAAATCAAGATCCGCGGATGCTGCTTTACCTCCAGTAGATGAAGTTTTCAAGAAGATTATGGAGCAAGATCAAGAACTCACTTGCAACAATAAATCCATAATGGACGCGGTTCGTGGAAGCTTTGAAGTGAAGGAGAATCCAAAGGTTTGTTCCTCATGAATCTATCAACAGCTTTTATCATCGTTATTGATTCTTGATTACTTTCACTTGACTTTGATCGCAGTTGAAAAAGAGTTGTAAGAGATATTTACGAGATAAGCCGTCAGTTTCAGATGATGAGGACAACCGTATGATTACTTATAATGCCGATGAGAACAAAGTTGACACAGTTGGAGAAGCAAATCCGATTCAAGATTTTGAAGCCATGATATCTCGTAGAGATCACAGTGACTGGATCGATAAAGCAATCAGTCAGATGAAAGACCGAATAGTGAAAGCTAGTAGAAGATAGTAGTACCGATGAAGGTGATAAAGCGTTGGAATGTTTGCTCGCTCTGCGTAAAGGCTGTGTCTTGGAACAGGTAAGTCTCATCTCCTTTCTCTCTAACTTGAACTTGTGCATTTGCTCTCTAAAGCAAGACCTGGTTTTAAACTCTGTTGTCATGGATTTGTTCTTGCGTATGTGTGTTCAGGAGCCAAAGCAATTCAATGAGTTCTTGAATCATCTATACGAGCTATGCCAAGAAAGAAACTTATCCCATTTTCTGAGACATTTCACGTTGAAGAAAATCACTCTGATTCCCAAATCTGAAGCAGCAGACAGGTTTACAGACAGCATATTTTCATTTGTGTATCTGTGATTTAATGAGTAAATTGTTGTAAATGTTGTTGGTTGGTCGTTTGCTTATACGTGACAGTGATGTTGCGGACGAGGACGCTGGAGATTTTGCCGTCAAACAAGAGCCAAAGCTCGAGAGCTAAACAACTTCTCCATCTCTACTACAATCTCTCTAACGACGCCGGCTTTTGTTTCACCTGTTTAACAACTCAGACAAAGTTGTTATCACCATCCATAACTAGTTTTAGAGACGACCCTTTTGTAATTATTCGAACGAAAGGTGCTTAGTTGGTCAAAATAGTATTATCTTTTTTCTTAATTTCTTACAAATTAAAAGTTGAAACCAAGCTGAATGCAAAATTGTGGAATCTCCTTCTTTGATCCGTTTGGTCAAGGGCCGTTAAATGTACTACATTAATGTTCCTTCTTCGTGGATCCGTTCGGTCAATTTTGAAAACGGTAATTAAATTCCTGATTAAATTCCAAATACGTTTCTTCAAGGTAATTGATACGTTAGCTTCATCTCTTTCTTCCATATAAATACTCATCGTTTGTACTAATGTTCATCACTCAAAAACAAACTCGATAAAGACATACTTCTAGAGATCTTGCTCTTTCTTTTTTAATCTTCTTGTGCAATATCTAATCATGTCTATTAGAAATGTGTCTTTTGTTATGGCAGTTCTATGCATTATCATCTCCGTGAATGCTCAACTACCACAGTTTCCGGATCCATTTCCATTCCAACCAATTCCTGGTGTGCCCGACTTAACCAAATGCTGGTCAACAGTACTGATGAATATCCCAGGGTGCATTGCGGAGATCTCTCAATCCATACTCACTGGAAAGTTTGGTAACATTGGTCCTGCTTGTTGCAAGGCATTTTTCTTTTTGGAAGCGGAAGCCAATTGCCTGCCAAAAGTTCCACTCAGTTCCGTTTCCTCCTATGTTGAAGGAACAATGTTCAAGAATTGCGCAACCCCCCTACCCCAAAATAGAGTTTTACTTTTAATATATGTAGTTTTTCTTCATTACATGTTCATTTTAGCTATTTCTCTTCTATCTATGTTATAAGAAAATAAGATGATACAATAAAGGTGGCATTTTCAAAAGCCATATTTTTCTCAGTCGTCCTTCTAAGTAAATCATGCCATTAAAAATTAAAACTAATCTAAACTGTAAAACTAAACTAAAATATACTATCTGATATAAAATAACCGCATCGGATTTGATGTTTAGAGTCCTTGCAATGAGTTGAATGTTAAGATGTAAATAATACTGTACAAGAAGTTAAAGTTAATGTAACAAAGTGATGAAGACACTCGTATGGGTTCGTTTATGCCAATGACAACAATATTGACACAGTCGGAGGTGCAAACCCAATTCAAGATTTTTGAAGTCATGGTTATATATTTATGGTCCAATTTGTTAGATTCCAAGAGAACGTGAACTATGAACATTAGAGAAGTTGGCAGTGTATGGTAGGTAATATTAGCCAAAAAATTAGGGGTTAGATTTCTTTAGCACACTAATTATACCTCTTTAATTTATAAGTTAGAACGAAGTTGTTTTGGTATATTTTGTGTGTTAAAAAAAAACGAACCCAAAACTTAGCGTTCGATCCTAAACATAAATGGGGTCTATATAGTAACGCTTCCGGAATAAGAATCTTGTGATTAATAGAAATCATGGAGACGATAATGACCGTTGGAGGAGACGATGATGTAGATGATCTGAGGTGTACATGGGGCTTTTGTCCGAATTCAAGAGAGTGCGGTCTAACTTACAAAAGAGAGGAAATTGGACAAACCTGAATTAAAGAAAATCAAAACCGAACGACTATAAACTGGTCAAATCATTTTGGTCAAGGGCTGCCAGTTATATTTTATTTATTACTCCTGGAGGTTTCCACTATGTTTCAAATTTGAAAACGGCTACTTTAACTCCTAATAAAAACCCAAATACGTTTCTTCAAGGTAATTGATATGGTAACTTCATTTCTTCCCATATAAATAAACAACGAATGAAAACTATTTTTTTTCATCAATCAAAAACAAAACTCAATAAAGACTTCCATTTCAAAGGATCTATCTTTCTCTCGTGTGCAATATCTTAACATGTCTATTAAAAATGTGTTTTTCCTTATGGCAGTCATATGCGTTATCAGCTCCGTAAATGCTCAGCTACCACAGTTTCCAGCTCCATTTCCTTTCCGATTTCCATTCCAACCAATTCCCGGTATGCCAGGATTATCCGACTTAACCAAATGTTGGTCAATAGTGATGGATATCCCAGGATGCATTGCAGAGATTTCCCAATCTATATTGACTGGAAAGTTTGGTAACATTGGTCCTGCTTGTTGCAAGGCGTTTTTGGAAGCTGAAGCCAATTGCATACCGCAAGTTCCATTGATTCCGTTGTTTCCTCCTATGTTAAAACAACAATGTTCAAGAATTGCCGGCGCAGCTCCTCCTACCCCGAAGTAGAATTTAGATTATTTTTAAAAATCACTATGTCAGTTTTTACTTTCAATCTTATTTTTTGACAATTTAGCTAATAATCCTATCGATGTTATAGCATTTTGGAAATCAAAATGATACAATAATAATAGCATTTTGGAAATCAAAATTTTCTCAGTCATCATTCTGTCAACCAAGCCTCGTTAAAGATTAGAACAAATTTGAATTGCAAAACTTAAATTATATTGCAATGTTTGCTAGCTCATCGTAAAGGTTGCGTTTGGAACATTTCTCATCTCCTTTCTTTATCTGATCAAACCTGTGCATTTTCTTTCTTGAAGCCAAAGAAATTTAGTGAGTTCTTGAATAATCTATACAAGTTTACGCCAAGAAAGGAAGCTATATACATTTCACACTGAATAAGATCATGCGCATCAGCGCATGTTAATGCCTCGTGAACATCGCACATGGTGACATGTGAGGTCTTACCCATGTGAATTTTAGCCTCCGGCCGTTGATGAATAGCATGTTGGAGATCTGTTTGCATGGCTTCCTCTGCTCATGGAAGGGACGTGGCGCCACCTGTGAGTCCGACAATCCAAGAGCGAGACGTCCGAAGTTCGACTTCCCTTTATCAGTCCACCGATAACATAGACCGCCGAGTCCAGTGCCACCACGGTGGATCCTTCCGAGGGGACCGGGAAGGAAGGGGAAGGGATCGGGATCAGGTCGGAGGAGGTTTTTCTACGGCGGAGGATACACCAGAGTAGGTTTGGGGCAGGAGGGATTCGTAAGCATACGTAGACGTATGTTTCGGTGCGGCCCATCTGCGATCGGATCTTGTAGAGCTCAGGGGAAGCCACTAGACAGCGATGAGTCTTGGAGAGGAGAGAAAACGCCGCGTAGTCCAATCTGGTTAGTTGAGCCAGGCAGCTCAGAGCAACGTCATCTGACAGCGGCGGTAAAAGATACGATGGAGAAGACGGCTTCTCCTTCCTCCTCTTCTTATATGGTGGCTCTTTCAAAAAGGAAATCGCCTTAAGTCTTTGATTTTTACTTTGGAGAGCTATAACTCTTGGAATGTCACAACTCTCGGAGAAGAGAGATAAGACCGCGTGCTCCGATCTCGAGACTGGAGCCACGTCATCCGGCAGCGACGGTAACGTAGTCGGAGACGGCTCCTCTTTACTCGAATTGGACATCAGCTTCAAGTCTTAGATTTTTTTTTTAAAGTTAAGAGTTATGTCCCTTTTATAGGCTCTTACAAACCCATACACCAAAAAGAAATAGGAAAAGGAAAGATCTGAATTAAAGGATAAAACAGTCAATGTTATATCCAATGGGAAAATTGAAATAAAAACATTTTTTTATATATCTTACATATGTGTTGAGAAGCCAAAGAAATACAGTGAGTTCTTGAATCATCAAAACAAGTTATGCCAATAAAGGAAGTTATATAATTTTCTAAAACATTTGCCATCAAAGAAGATCATGTCACGTTAAGATTTCATGGGGACCCGAGGTCTTCCCCATTTGAGTATTAGCCTCCGGCCGTTGATGACTAGTCTGTTGGAGAGCTGTTGCATGGCCTCTTCTGCTCCTTGTCGAGATGTGTATGTGACAAACGCACATGTTTTCTCGGCCAAAATTCTGATAGATTCGATTTCTCCGTAAGCGTAGAATTGGTCTCGTATGTCCTGCTCGACGATTATCGAGTTGAGCCCACCGATGTAAAGCGTTTTGATGCTTTCATCCTCTGGTGGTTCTAATGAGCCCATCTCACCAGCTTTCCCGAGTAACTTCATCGCGACTGGATCATTTTCACTGTGAATATATAAAGAAAACAAAAAAGGTGAAAAACAATTCAAAGAAGACTACGTACGTGAGAGACAACATGACAACAAATTAAGACTCGAGCAATTGATTAGATGGCGAAATAGCTTACCCATAATAACGATCTTTTATGTTTTGGTGGGCTAAGTCTCCTGTTTTGGGCATCTCATGCCGGTATGCACATTCGGAACCTCTTGTACACCGACCATTGGTGTAGAAACTACAAACATTTGGCTCGTTCCTTATATAGTATGGTTCTGTTCTTTGATGCTTTAGAATTGTATCATTGGGTTGCATCTTCCCATATAAAGATTCATAATCCAGTCCAGCTCTAGTCTACACAAAAGAAAGAAAATCAAAATCAGTACTCCATGAGGAAACTAGACTTAGTCATCATCAATCGTTTACATAAAAACATAAGAATGTAAGCATACCATTCGGTCATGCTCCTCAGCAAAGTACTCTCTGTTAACATCGCTTTTTGGGACGGAGTCATGAGTAGTAATGTTGAGTGCTGTGTCTCTGACCTGAACAGGAAGACCAAACTCAAGATCGAGAAGACAGACTTGGCATACATTCTTGAGCTTGGAGCAAGTCTGACAGATCTCGGTTTTCTTGAATCTAGCATTCCGACCAGGTCGCCACCTGAACACCGTGAAAGGTCGTGTACATACCTTGCATGCCTTGTCATGATCCGCTAGAGTCTACTTAATCAAACATAAAATTACACTTAAAGTCAGCAGCTATAATCAGTTCCAAGTACATATAACTAGACGAATTTAGATATCAAAGCGGTATTTTTTTAGAACTACCTAAAACCCTAAACCTAGAGTACTAAAGAAGTTAACCACTCCAATATACAGAAATCAAGCAACACAGGAAGGGAGAGGAATCAAATCACCATTCGCAAGTAGGGATTGTCGCCGAGGCAAGATTCGCAGGTGATTGGGTAATGGGAGCGTTCCCATCCATCGCCTATTCTTTGAGCCATATTGTCTTCTCCCTGATTTCCTTGTCAAGTTCAAACAATTAATGTGACGCTACTTTAAATAAATATATTGTCAATTTTCCAATATTTTTTAACAGTTATAGTGTCAATTATGACAGTTATCTTGGCAGTTATATTGTCAATTTTCCAATTTTTTTTTATAAATTAATTTTATGTGTTAAAACATATGTCATATCAATATAACACACATAAGACAATTTGATGAATTAGAACTACATTCACATCCAACTTTCTATAATATAAAATATTATACTGATTTATGATTGATTTCAATTTTTTTTTTAACAGATATTGTAAATCTCATCATTTTAAATGGAATTGATTTCTTAGATTCGTTGACCAGCCAAGTACAGGCAATAAAGTGAAGGTCTATAAATACACATTTAACTACTGGATTGTCGTTCATTTATTAAAAATTGTCTTTCTATATTCTTATCATCATCTTATGGGACCAAGAGTTGTATCTTTATTAATTAAGGCAGAAAAAGTGTTTAATGCATATAAATTCTACTGATTCTTATTCACCAAAAAAAAAAATTCTACTGATTCTTTTCTCATTCTTAATCTCTTAAAACACAACTCACAATAACAATGGAGTTTGCTCTTAAGTATTTCGTTATTTTCCTTCTTCTGTCTATGGTCACTCAAGGTAATGTAATCTTCATGTATCCCAGAAACTCCATGCCTTTCGTGCATATATGTAGTTTTTTTTTGTAGTTTCAATCTCCAATCTTTAAGATGTTTTGGGGTGAAAAGAACTGTGTCATATCTCTTAGGATTATGTATGTTAACAAGTATATCCATGTCTCAATTAGTAATTTTTCATGTCTCAACAAGTATATCCATCACTGAACAATATAACCCACAGGACTGTGCGGATGCACTTTCGATGAGATTGAAATCGGGACGGAAAGGACGGGGAAAGAAATCTCCGGACAAACGGAGTGGAAAGTGACGGTGATCAACACGTGCACCTGTCCTCAGAAGAACGTGACTCTCTCTTGCAGTGGGTTTTCTCCTGTGAATCCTGTCGACTCTGGACTACTTCTCCCACAAGGAAACACGTGTCTTCTGATTAAAGGAGAAGCTTTGTCAGCTGGTGGGACCGCTGAGTTCGCTTATGCCGGCGAGCCTTACATCTTCAAACCCGTCAGCTCCACGGTTGACCCAAGTTGCAACCATTAATACTTCCATTTGGCATTTGCTATTACAAGCTCTGCAAAAAAAAAAAAAAAAACATGTACATGAGCAAGGTTATAAGGTTTCTTGCGTCTCAAGCTAGATGAATTTTCTTCTTACCAAGAAACTGATGTGCGCATCTTTTTGTTAAGCATGGAGTTACAGACGACAGAAAAAAATAAAAGGAATATTAAGCATTATACTTACGCATACCATATATCATTAGCACATTCTGATTGAAATCGGTAAAACATTATGATCTCAAGACATGAAGTTGTAAGAAACTGTTTCATAGTTTAAGCAACAAAAAAAAAACAAAAAATTGCATAAACACATATCAACACGAAGGGACGTACAATTAAAATAAACGCATAAACAATAAGCATGCTTTGAAAATACCAATTCTCAACTTCAGGCATTAAAAATTGAGGAAGCATCCAGCTAAGAACTACAAAACATGAAGTGAACCTAGAGCTAGTTTAGTACCAACGGACAGATTCATTTCTCCCATCTATTAATCTTAGTAGAAAGCAAAATACTGTCATTGATCTAAATTGAACAAACGATAGACTTAATTGATAAGCCACACTCTGAAAATTATCTATTGCCGCATGAATAAATAGGAATAAAGGACCCAATGTAGTACTAATTAAGCCATTAAAATGGTTCTTTTCAACCAAATGCAACTCACAAACGTTTCACTCATCATCATGTTCTCTATGCACCTCAAATCTTCCTTTCCTTTTGGCTTAGTGAAAAATAGTTTCGAATTTAACCATATAGAGACCCAAAATATTAGAAAGACTTTAGAAATATAGGTATATTGTCTCCAAATTCAAGAGAGCGCGGTTTGGCTTACAAAAGACAGGAAACTGAAAAAAATTGAGTTGAAGCAATTCATAACCGAACGACTATAAACTGATAAGGCTGCCAGTTATATTTTATTAATGTCGTACGTGGTATCCTCTCGTTGAGGTTACCACTGTTATTCAATTTTGAAAACGGCTAGTCAAACTCCTAATAAAATTCCAGTGACGTTTCTTCAAGGTAATTGAAATGTAACTTCAAATCTTCTCATATAAATAAACAACGATTATACTATTCTTTCATCAATCAAAACAAAACTCGATAAAGACTCGTATTTGAAGGGATTTATCATTCGTTCTTGTGCAATATTTCATCATGTCTATTAAAAATGTGTCTTTTGTGATGGCAGTTCTATGCATTACCATCTCGGTAAATGCTCAACTGCCACAGTTTCCGGCTCCATTTCCTTTCCCATTTCCATTCCAACCAATTCCTGGTATGCCAGGATTACCCGACTTAACCAAATGTTTGTCATCAGTGATGAATATCCCAGAATGCATTGCAGAGATTTCTCAATCAATATTCACCGGACAGTTTGGCCACATTGGTCCCGCTTGTTGCAAAGCATTTTTGGAAGCGGAAACCAACTGTATACCAAAAATTCCATTCAATCTATTTTTCCCTCACATATTAAAGAACCAATGTTCAAGAATTGTCGGCGCAACTCCTCCTACCACAAATTAAAGTTATTATTTTCTAAAATAAGTATGTTGTCTTTTATTTTTCGTTTTTTTTTACAATTTAGCTAATCCTATCGATGTTATAAGAAATTATGATGATACAATAATAATAGCAATTTAGAAGTCATAGTTTTCTCTGTCATCGTACTAAGTTAATCATGCCTCGTTAAAAAAATTAGTTAATCTGAGAATGACGTACAAAAAATGTTAAAAATTATATAATATATAACAAGATGATGAAGACAATCGTGTGGTTGCTTAGAGTGCCAATGACAACAAAACTGACACAGTCGGAGATAACTATAACTGGATCGATAAAGCAATCGCACAAATGAAAAACCGAATAGTGAAGCTCGTAAATGGTAGTACCGACGAATGTGAGAGAGCATTGTAATGTTTCTTCGCTTTACGCAAAGGTTGTGTCTTAAAACATGTCTCATCTCCTTTCTCTATCTTGACTTGGTGCATTTACTCTCTAAAAGCAATTCAATAAGTTCTTGAATCATCTATACGAGCTTCGCCAACAAAGAAATTTATTCAATTTTCTGAAACATTTTCACGTCCAGTGAGATCATTTGATTCCGAAATCTAAAGCAAAAGACAGGTTTGTCTATTAGAAGTGTGTTTTTCCATTATGGCGGCCATATGTGTTATCAATTATCATCATCACCATAAATTCTCAACCACCACAGTTTATAGTTCCATTTCCTGTATGATGTTGCTGCAGAACTGATAGATATCTTGTGATAAGTGGATATGATTTTTATTGGGGGTGCGATTATTTTTTGGACCACTGTCCATAACGAACCGACCAATTACAGCCTAACAAAAAAGAATGTTTGTGTTGACCATCCAAGTTGGACAGTGGCTGACAGACCCATTTTTGACATTTCTATTTAAATTTCTAAATAGTTTTTGGTTTTTATTAAATCTTTTGGTTTTCAAATAGTTTGGTTAAGTTCAAATTACAGTAGAAACTCTATAAATTAATAGTCGATAATATAATAATCACGATAAATTAATAAAATCTTCTGGTCCCGAGTCGGGCCAGTGTAAAATATGACACAATTCGATAAGATAATAAGATAATAACTTTTTAAAAACTCCAGTGTAAAATATGGTCCCAATAATATCATAAATTAATAATTATCATATAAAAAATAAATAGATATAATAAATTAACCTACTAAAATATGAATGTAATATTGTTTGCTTTTTCTTAAATTTGAATTCCTTTTGTAGTTAGTCTCTAAGTTAGTCTCTAATATCTTTTGCAGCATCAAAATTTTTCCTTGTTGTATTTTCGAATTGCATCCAAAAATTATAAAGAATTCTACACCTGATAATTGTCTTTTTAAGCGTAATCACATCTAAAAAATTATAACAAAATGATAAGTATGAAAAAATGTAAAGTAAATACATAATTATAAAAGAAAAAAGTTTAACAAAATTATTTTTAAAGAGAAAAGGAGTATAAATGAAAATTGAGATGTTTCATATAATTATGTTTTTATTTTTTTTAGTTCAAATCGTTAAATTAATAACTCTATAAATTAATAAAATATCAAAGTTCCGAGATTATTAATTTATAGAGTTTCTACTGTATCAATGTACTTTAATTTCTTTTTATTTAATCATTTTTTTTAAGGAAAAGGATCTATATATATTTGAGATTACACTTTTGATTTTATAGGAAAGACAGAGATATTATACCATTTTTTTAAAAATTGTTACAGATATTATATGGACACTGTTTGAAAAAAAATTGACTAGAAAATATGGATATTAAAATAAGAAGTTTAATCTAAAAAAGGTAAAATATTCAGCCACAAGAGCCAATAACCACACGATCACTCAAACACTCTTAATAGTAATCCCAAATTCCTAATCCAAGACATTAGCGGGCAAAAGCAAATGCAAAATTTCGAGTAATGTTAAAATTAAATGATCAAATATAACCCAAAAGCCAATCCTCTCTGTTTTTCTGGATGTCCAATCATTTTCGCGGTTTCGTCCAGTCGATGATAACGGTGGAGAGCGACGGAGGCTCGCGGCGACGACAACGTTAGGGTTTGTTTCTCTGGTTCATGGCTGTGAAGAAGGCCTCAGAGATGTTTTCGAAGAGCTTGATCGAGGATGCTCACAAATGGGGTTGCATGAAGCAAACGGGCGTGAGCCTCAGATACATGATGGAATTTGGTTCCACACCTACTGAGAGAAATCTCTTGATCTCCGCACAGTTTCTCCACAAGGAGCTTCCGATTCGCGTCGCCAGGAGAGCGATCGAACTCGAGACGCTCCCTTACGGCCTCTCTGAGAAACCTGCCGTATTGAAGGTACTCTCTATCGGAAATTTCTGGGTATGAGTATTTGAATTCCGTTTTCGGTGCTTTCTGGAAATCGGATTCTGGTGAATTGAATCTTCAACTTGAATTGGTTTTTGCGTGATTTTGCTGGAGTTGTGTGTGGTGTGTGATTCGCTTCTCGAGATTGTTGATTTTTCTCCTGGAAAAAGCAGATATATATATATATATAAGATTTGGTGTGATTATTTTATTTATTAATCTCTTGTATTAAAGTCTTTTACAAGCTTGTGCTACAGTCTTTGACGCCAGCTTTGGCTCTTAAGCATCCTCTTTGATGCTGGCTTTTCTGTGTTGTAGGTAAGGGATTGGTATCTGGAATCATTCAGGGACATGAGAGCTTTTCCTGAGATAAAGGATACGAATGATGAGAAAGAGTTCACTCAGATGATTAAAGCCGTGAAAGTAAGGCACAACAACGTGGTTCCAATGATGGCTCTGGGTGTGAATCAGCTGAAGAGAGGAGTGGCTTTCTATGAAAAACTTGAAGAGATTCATCAGTTTCTTGATCGCTTCTACTTGTCTCGAATAGGGATCCGTATGCTTATTGGTAGGACTTTGGTTTCCTTGGATCTAATGTTCCTCGACTCAAAAGGTTTTTAATACTTTGTGTGTGGTTATTGTGGGTTTTATCAGGGCAGCATGTTGAATTGCATAATCCAAACCCGCCACTTGATATTGTGGGTTACATACACACCAAGATGTCTCCTATGGAGGTAGCAAGGAACGCCAGTGAAGATGCTCGTTCGATTTGTTTCCGAGAGTATGGTTCTGCTCCTGAGATAAACATATACGGCGATCCAAGTTTCACCTTTCCGTGAGTTCAACTTTCCTGCTTTTTTGTTTCCTTTCATTCTTGGATTCACTTGGAAGCTTTTGTTTTTGATATGGTGAACAATGTCTTTTTTAATAGGTATGTTCCAACCCATTTGCATCTTATGGTGTATGAGTTAGTCAAGAACTCTCTACGTGCGGTGCAAGAGCGATATGTTGACTCAGATAGAGTTGCACCACCAATCCGCATCATAGTTGCTGATGGAATCGAAGATGTTACAATAAAGGTTCTTGTCTTCCTCTGCTTTTCTGCTAGGCATTTCAATTTTCAAAGATCTTCATTGATGTGGGTTTAATCTAATAGGTCTCAGATGAAGGTGGAGGTATACCGAGAAGCGGTCTCCCAAAAATATTCACTTATCTTTACAGCACTGCAAGAAACCCACTTGAGGAGGAATTGGATTTAGGAACAGCTGATGTTCCGGTGACTATGGCCGGGTACGGTTATGGTCTGCCGATTAGTCGATTGTATGCTCGTTATTTCGGTGGAGATTTGCAGATCATATCCATGGAAGGATACGGTGAGTTGAAATACTTCTTCCATTTCGTATTCCACAAAAGTCTCTTAAATCTGAAATGTCTCACTCAGCTTCATTTTAAGATCATTCATGATAAGAGTTCTGTTTTTGTTGTTGAAATGTGTAGGGACTGATGCTTACTTGCACTTGTCTCGTCTTGGAGATTCGCAAGAGCCTTTGCCCTGAGTGAGAATATTTAAGTCAGGCTAGTGAAGATAAAAGCTTTGACATATTTATATGGTAGATGAGAGGGAACTACATTGCTCTCGATTCACTATTGTTATTCCCGTTTTTATTTTAATGTACAGACATTATTATTTCTCTCGTTATGCTTTCGTGATTCTAAAACACTCAGATATGGAGATTTTTCCAAGCGAGTTAATCTCCTCTGATTTGATTTGAGTTTTTGATTCAAAGCCTTGTAGTAGCTTCTCGGTGCAATCTCTTTTCTTTGTATCCGAAAGTAAGCAAAACGTTATTGGTTTGTATTCATAAAACAGTTATTTAAGAAACAGCCAAGTATTATTGGCACGCTAAATAATTTGACTTTGCCAAATCATTTCGTTGCCGCCGAAAGGCGAAACTCTTAAATCTGTTTCAGAAAACTTTGAAGTTTGAAACAATGAACTATTCCGTGCAGCGTTTTTAGTAGTGCCGTAATAAAGATTAAATGTATCATGCATAGAGTTTCGAACAGTTAGCCCGTCTAGCTCAGTCTCTTAACCTTGTGGTTGTGGGTTCGAGCCCCACGGTGGGCGATTACTCTTTTTTAGTTAGTTTCTCTTACATACTGTTTTTTTTTGCGCATCATGGTAATGGACTCGATTTTAGACGGTTTATACATACATTGGTTTGGTTTATTTCGGAAAAGAGAAGGAGAATTCGGAAAAGTATTTTCAAAAAATAAATAAAATTATATAAAGCAGCCCCGTATACATTTGTTGATAAACACGAGTCTGATTGGAGGAAAGACTGTACTGCAGACGTTTATATACACACATTCATATATATATTTCTACGATATGATTACCAAAATCCTACGCCAGAAAATTTGAACAATGAAATGTCCTTTTTATACCAAATCTGTGTTTGATCTCGCCCACCTGAGAACAAAACAAAAGCAACCATTAGATTGTGTTTGTTTATTATAAGCGAAGTAGACGAAAGCTTTGTTCAAGCAAATGGAGAAATGTCCTTACCGGGGAGGAGAGAGAGCTCAAAGATTGTAGACAGCTCCAAGGTTTAACTTGAGCTGGTCGTTGGGCTTGTGCCAAAGGTTGAAGAAGGTGTAACTGAAGCTGGCATTTGTTGAGAAGCTCCTTCAGCCCAAGAACTCTCAGAGATTGGAGAATATGGCCTTGTCACTTTGTTTTTCACCATTCCCTATAAACGAATATCAATAGCCATTAAATCATTTTAATTTGGTTTCTTGTTTGGTGGCATAATTAAAAGTGACAGAGAAACTCTTCTCACCTTTGAAGCATTTTGCCCGTACAAGTTAATGGCTTGATCGATGGCTGAGTAAACCTCAAAGGCCTGCTTCGTGTTGGGACTGCATTTGACAACACGGATCTGTTCCTTGGAATCGTTTGGCTTTGATCTCAGATAGAGAATAAGCCGCGAAGGTGGAGAGTTAGGTTGGTCTTTCTTCCCGTCAGTTAGTTCCATGGTTACCAGATCAGTCCACAGAACGTCCCACTGAATCGAACACGCATCTTTGGCCGGGATAAACTTTCTTTGACCAATTATGTTGGATGGTTGCTAGAAACATAAAATAAGTTTGCGAATGTCAAGACGATTTCTTGGATAGATACAGAGGAAGAGCACTAGAGGAATCAAGCCTTATGCATATAGAGAGAGCAAGAAGGTATTGTGTGACTCACTTGTAGCAGTATCACTCTTCGATGTGTGATCATTAGCACTTTTCCTTTCGGTAAGATGAAATGACTTTCGTAAGCATCTGTTAATGCAAACTTCCCGCGTACTTTGAACAGATCAACCTGGCCAAGGAATGATCCAGATTCTGCCAACTGCAATATAACCTGTAAATCCAAAAAGATAAGATAATTTAATCTTTGCATAAGTATCATCATATGCCAGGTGAATCAAACCAAAATACCCTCAGCACGATTAAATCTATTCCTCAGCAGCTAACCAAGAGAAAAACGACTAGTGGAAACATGTGTAAAGAGATTCATGAGTACAAATTATACCTGCCCCTGTGCTCTGTATTCGTTGTAAGGACGAAGCAGGCTATCAGCACCAACAGCTCTTGGAAGTCTCCGGCGAAGAAGTTGTTCATCTGAAGTGATGGCAGCTGCTATCTTCATCCTCATGGCATTCGCACCTTCAGTGGTCTTTGACAGAAGATCCAGAACTCCACTCACAGGTTGGGCAGCAGCACCGATAATTCCTTTCCCGAAACCTGAGACAAAGCCTTCGACACCAGAAGTCTTTGCACCTTCGAGAGGCTTTGTCAATATGCCTGTGACTCCTCTAAAAAGACCTTTCGCCAAAGCTCCACCTCCTTCTCTGATAATATCGCCAAAGTCCTCAACACCTTTGTTCTCCTGCCAAGTGTGAGAAAAACACATGAACGTTTAATATCAGAAGCCATTGGAATTTGGAACATTCAAGTGTTAAGAGGACGATTTTCTGCATATTAGGTGAACGGATGGAAAGGAAAATTGTACTGTTTATGTTGTATCTACGGGAAACAGCAGCATGCGGAACGGATGGAACAAACCTGTCTCTGTCGACTTTGGATGAATTTTTTATCCATTGATAATGCAGCTATGCCTTGACTCATATGGCCAAGAGCGCTACTTGCATTGCCAAGAATATCAACACCTGAGAGCAACTGAAGAGGCTGGCCAAGGAGGTCTTTCTTTACGTTCCTAATAGCATTGTTGATCATAGTACTTTGGCGCATTGATATGTTCTCATTAAATCTCTCACTTATCCGTACCTGTTTGAAGATAAGAAAATTTTAAAACGAAAAAATATATGAATATTAGTAGGCTAAATATTTATAATCGGGATCTTATCAAGCTAAACGCATGCAAAACAGACATCATTATTGTTGGGCCACGTTCTCACAAAAATTACTAAGGAAACTTACTGGCATGTTTTCTGTATTCCCAAGAGCAGTCATCAGGGATGACCAAAATCCAAGCACTCCCCTCGGCCTTTGACTTGGAGACATGGCCATGGATACTTTAAATCTAACTTCTGAGATGTTAAGAACTCTGCATTTTTTAAGAGACGTAACAATATAGTTAAGTGTCGTGAATGGACTAATTCTGTAAACATCATATCAATATATAAGGAGACATGCGTACATACCCGATTTGAATGAATGGATCAACAGATACAGCTGTCGACTTAGGATCGGATAGTCTACTCAAGTTGGCTTGCTGAATCATCTCATGAATGCGCCAGATTATAGGTTCATGAATATTAATCAGAAAGGCGGTATTTTCACGTCCCTGGAAACCTATATACGGGTAGACACGGAGATCGAGACCAGCGTTTGATTGCAAAGTGACAGAAAACTTCAAAATGTAATCAGCTTTATCTCCACTTCTCTGTGGTCGGAACAGAACCGGCATTGGAGCCAATGGCAATTGGTTATCCACTTGTATTCCTTGCATCCTTAGTTTGAACCTGTAAGAAAATTAGCGTTCAGCATTAGAACAACAACCAGCAGAATCTAATAAGCGTGAATGCAAATTCATTATCATAGCAAATGCTGTCTGTTAGAAATCTCAATCTGTATCTGAAATATGAGGAACTTGCACATTACCACTGAATGCATAGAGACAGACCACAGTTATCGAATTAAATAAGAATTCATATGGTCATTCAGAATAACTGCACTGGTGAAAAATGATGGCCCTTACATTTGTATAATAAAGCTACACCCTAAAAACCGATAAACTCACCTACTAAGGCCAGAGCCCAAGCCAGTTGAATAGGCCACAACGAGGTTTTGCATTGACATGTACAGTATTTCCTCAGGAGCATGATCGATGACGGAGATTCCAAGCTCAGCGAGTTCAAGAATCACATGAAATTCAGACTCTTCCGAGGCCAGGAGATTAGACTGCTGAGACTCACTTCCAGATAACTCTGACAAAGATGAGGCTGGAAGTCGTCTGCTTATGCTTGAAGTAGGCTCAATTGCCGGCATCCAATCACTGATTCTAACAATGTTCTTTTTGTCTTCCTTTACAATAGTAACTCGTATGGGTCTGGTAGGTCCAGTCTCACTTCGTGGTGGATGATCACCAATCTTATCAATATCGAATTTTTCTGATTTAGAAGGATCATTTCCATCAACAAGGAGTTCAAATAGATGTCGTCTACCAAGATCTTCCCAATAAAACGAAGCAGCAGCGTTAGGAGGTAGAAATTGCCAAGATTCGCTGACACCATCCACTTGGCGATAGCGAATAGGAAGAAACATGGAACGGTTCTCGATCCTAGGAGAGTGGATTCACATTGTAGCGAATACAAAAAAAAAGTCAGATATACGTAGTAACGCAAACTTGAATTCAGCAAACAGGATGAATAACTGTATCGAATTAATTTCATGCAGGCTCCATGGACTACTTTAACCACCAATCTAGAACGAATTTGGCAATAATTATAATCATAAGTGCAAATATGATCTGGTAGTTGGAAAATGTCACATATATATCCAAGCAAAGAGTACAGTAACATCAGAAAACCAAATCATCCACAACTGAAGCATGTGTGATTACCTGTAAGGACCGGAGACAGAGTTCGGCCTGAAAATAACTTCATAACGTGAGTTCTTTGTCCCGCTTCTGACTTGTACTCTTAGCTGCAATTGATCAGTCCCATCTTCTTTTCCAACAGGGACACGCACTATACCTTCGCTAAACACACTGAATGGTGTGCTCCATCTATATCCTTCCACTCTTAACTGAAAATGTCCCATCCGGCGTAAGCACATTAATCATCATTAAAAATAAGATACAGAAATATGAAGGTAATGCACATACTTTCAGCAACTCAATCCTGGTGGAAGACTGCCATCTAAAGAGCTTCGGAGGATCAGAAGGACTAATCCATTCTTCTGTCTGACAATCGCACTGTTGAAGACAGATGCTCACGCCCACCCTGTTGATGAATAAGGTGCGAGGCTGGAGTTGAATAAC